GAGAATGTGCAGTTATTTTTAACTGGACCATCAAAAGTTTTGGGGTCACCCAACAGAGATTGGTCAAGATTTGGGCTGTGAGTCATTGACACGGTCAAAAAATGGTCAACTCAAGACAGAGTAACGACGGTTATAATTCAAAAGAAACGTTTTATTTTTATGGTTTAAGAGGCAAACGAGTAAACGATGGCAAGTGTAGTCACTTGCCATCGTTTACTCGTACTACCGCCGCCCATGAACACCTGCAACTCAAGTTTCAAAAGTGAGTCGCCGCCCTTTTAGTCCCCTCTCCAGAAATCAAGGGGATGGAAGAGGGGTGGAGGGGGGGGGGTTTGCTCCGGTAACATTACTCATTCACTCAAAAGAACGCGGATTTTATAATGGCTACATATACCTAATATGACAGTAAACACTACAAGCAACGCAAAGAAAAAATAAATTTAGTTCGAATTCTGACGTTGGCATTGCATGGCATTTCAACAGACTGAGCTCTGTTTATTATTTAGCAGTAGTTGTATCAGAAAAATATAGAATGCCTTAACCACATCAACCACTTTTTAAATGTCTAAAAATCATCCTCGTTAAATCCTTCTTGAAGAGATGGCGGAAGTGACTTAACAAATGGTATACCTCCTAAATTCAAGCATTCACAGTGTACAAACATAAATAATATGTATTTATATCTATATTTATTTCTATATATATGTGTAATTATATTTGTATTACATTATAACTTATATGCATAATATTTGTAGATTTTGCTTAGTTTTAGATAAACAATTATTTATAATCATTGATTACAATCGTAACCTCGGTGCACCTACCCTACAAGATTTCTACACCACCTAAAGGTTGGCTGGTAGAGAATGCCCAGGGCATTAAGTCCGCCGATGTACATAAGTGAATGAAGATGTAAAATAAAAAATAAAAATAAAATAAAATTAAATCACCTATACTTTTAAAACCGTCAAGTCCAGAACTATTTGGGATTCTCGAAATATACTCGAAAAAAAACCGTATACTTTTAATAAATACTAATAAAATGAAAGAAATTAATTTAAAAAACGAGTTTGCTTTAGACTACACGACTTAACTAAAACTTCTTGACTATGAGAGGAAGAAAATGAGTTCTCGCTCTCTCTCTCTTTCCCCTACAGTAATATACGAAACATAACTCTCTCTCTTTCTATCTTCACTAACTTATATCTCCCACACAACTTCCGTTCGCCTCGCCCAATCACAATTTTCGTAACGCTCTAGTCACGCATTCACCAGTTTACTCCCCAAGGCAAGCGTGCGTAAAGAAGTTTTACTTCAAAAACAATTTGAAATATATCAAAAGGGAATAATTTCCTATACTTACATATATGTATGTATTAAGTCGTGTCTTAGGAAGAGATTTTTTTTCTTTAGTTTCTTCTTAAAAAGCACCCTATTAGTACATCATTTTCGCTAGCTATATGACATTATCATTAATTTAGCTGTTCGCTCGCGACTTCGTCCGCGTAGTGGATTCGATTCCCGGACCGGGTAAAATTTTATAGGGGTTTTCTGATGGAAAAAAATAGCCTATGATACTCCTTATATAGACAGCTACTTGGTAGGGAAATATTTTCAAACAACAAAACGAACAAACAGACAGATAGACAGACAGACAGACAAAAAATATTTAAACTGGTTTTTAGGCATAGGTATCGTGCAAATAACCATGTGAGCATGAAAAAACACCATTACAAACAGACACTTCAATTGTTTTTTTTATCGATTATAAATTACCATAAAATATTGATTACCTATAAGCTATTATTTAATTATAAAAAGACAATTATTGGCATTTAAAACGTTAGTTTTAACTAAATTATTGTTGTATAGGCTATACTAGAAACCTGTCTCGGCACCGCACAACTGTAATTGACACGTTTTACTATAGAAAAAGTAACAAAACTAGCTTCCTATTAGGGAAAGTTTTATGGAATCGTCTCAGCAGTAGTTAGACAGTACCCCTTACAACCAAACATACGAACTTTACCTGTTAATGACACATTAGTACTGAGTGTAACTTCAATTACCAGAACACTAATTTAAGTAACTTTTTTAAAATATTAATTAGATACAGATGTTAAATCACAGAGTACTTGAGTACAGTTTATTCTTTTGCAAGAAAATTAAGATTTTTTTTTATTAACCGACTCCAATAAGAATGTTGGGATATCGACTGTTTTTTTGAGTTCGTGACGGGATTTGTGAACCGATTTCTATAATTCTTTATGTGATTCATTTAGTTGGATGTATTTTTTTTTTAATTGAAAGAAAATATTTAACCTTTAAGGGTAATTAAGGTTTGATGAATACAACATATTATATTAATTGAAGATATATTAGTAAATAAAATCTAAATACTAACTTTTAAACTTTCGCGTTCCATGATAATTAATATTATTTTAACGGGAATTAACGCGATCTCTTATTTAGGGTATTACATACCTCTGGTTTGCCTGACGTTTCGACCAGGTTGCACCGGCCGTGTCAGCCTGTGACCACGGCCGGTGCTACCCTAAATAAGAGATCGCGTTAATTCCCGTTAAAATAAAATCTAAATACCCATATAATCATGCCTGCGTTTCGCCAGATTTCCTTATGTAATAAAATTCATAACTTTTAATTTAGAAATACTGTTTTAAAACTACTTAACTAAATTTAAATTAAAAACTGACAGATAAAGACTTTTACAGGGTTTAGATGAATGAAATTATAAGTATTTAATATCAATATAATTGATGAATACTAATATAAGACCTCAAGAGATTTTGAGAAAAAATACCCAGGTAAACAATGGGCAAAAAAATATTCCTATAGACCACCTAGGTGGATCACAGACAATATTTTTTTCCCGTAGTACACCTAGATGGACTACGCAGGTGAACCACGGGCAATACCCCGATTTGAAGACGATTTTAACCAAAAATATCAGCAAACAAAAATCACTGCAACTTAAATGAAAGTTGTGACATAGAAATACACTTACGCCTAAGGAGGAACCTTATAAATTGCATTAAACAGTCGTTCTTCCCTATCTCAATTCTTGTCACCATGTCTTTCTTTAAACCATAGATAATACTATTTTATTGTCAAACATGTGTATCGTGTCAAATGTTATTTGTTTAGAAGATTGCCAATAATTGCCCAATTGAGTTAAAACATGGCAATAAAGAGAAAATTGCGCTTGTTTCAATGAATCCAAATGCTTATGAGTACGAATGTGTTCAATATATAGCATTTCGTTTGTGTGGTGACGGATTAAGATTACGAAGTGTCACTACCCCTATTCATCAAGCGGACTAGGACAGGGCAACAGCACTGCAAGGAGAATGAAAACTTGAAATAAGCCTATATCAACCCGTCTGGCCAGCGTGGTATAGTAGGCCAAAACCTTATTTTTAAAGAGAGGCCTATGTTCAGCAGTGGACTATTAAAGACTGTTATTGATGATGATGACAATGATAATGAGTGGGGAATGATATGGGTTCCCTGATGGTAAAGGACTACAACTAAGGCTGACCCACAATCTGGTCGAAACGTCAGGCATTTCAAAGGTATGTACTTAATGCCTATCTTGAGCACGTTAATTCCCGTTAACATAATTATTTAATCCATAAATATTTTAGAGAGGCAAAACTGATAACATTTCTCCCCACTAAAATGATCTAATAAATACAAAGAAGAAAAAGAAACCGGACCACGTACTCTGACGACTTATAAGAGGAATGAAATCAATCTGTATCTGTAAAATCATTATTCGATTCTCCAAAATGTTATTGTAATTTGAACTCAATTCGTCACTCCGGGGACACGCCTTGAAACTTTACACAATTAAAACTATGGTTACTAGAAATTATTTAACAGACCTCATGAAATTCCAGTTAGATAAAACCTTGAAAAATTGAGTTCGATATTAATTTCAAATATTTTTTTGAATTTGAATGAAACATGAACGAATGAATCGTTCATATTTAATTCCCATTCATTGACGTCACGCAGATTGGCCGGCCATAAAAGAAATAGCCAAAACCAACGAAATGAAGAAGTGTGTGAAAGAAGATGTTCAGTAATAGAAGAGAGAGAAAAGAAGAAAACTCATTTAACCGACTCCAAATTAATTAGCGAAAATTGTAAGAAGAGTTTTTCGTCTAAAAAGATTGTTATTCAGCGTAGTAGTAAGTATATTTTATAAAAAGAAAATATAGAAATTTAGCGACCTTCGCAGTAAATCTTTAAATAAGTATTAATAATAATATCAACTTTAACCCGTGGTTTTTTTCGCTCAAGTAAGTCCTTAAAGGTTTCCCGTTTGTTTCTCTGTATCCCTGGCACGTTGTAAACAAAATTTCATGAAAAACTAACCGAAATACATTGTTTTTTTTTTATATTTGTTAGATATATAACAAATAAGGTATAGTACCTGGACGACTGAGCTTTGCTCGGTATTTTTTTTGTAAATTTTCTAAAAATAAAAGTATTTGAAAACTTGCACTTCTAGGCGTTTTTCTTTAAAAAAAAAATATATATTTTTTGTGTGGCTTCACCATTTTACATATACACAGGAGAATATACAGGACGGACAACAAATATCGTGTTCTGATACAATAGGCTCCCAAGAAAGTTGAGGTTGTTTAAGAATTTGATAAACAGAATCAACTCCACGGATGGCGCAGTGGCTAGTTTATTACCACTGCGTCAAAGATTACAGGTTCGTGACACCTCCGTGTGAGTAATTGTTTGATAAATTTATAAGTCCTGCTTAATGAGGTTTGTTTTAATCTCCCGCAGCAGTGTAACACAAGTTAAAATCTTTTTTAAATGTGAATCTGTTAAAAAAATAAGTCGAATGCCTAAAACAGATGACTGCAATTGTCAAAGCAAGTTGACAATCATTGACAGATATTTCACAATTTCCGAAAGTTCTTTAAACGGAACTTAATGAAAGATGGTGGTGGTGGTACTCACTGTGTCTCAATGAGTTCGCAGTTGAGCAGCAGCTTGTTGGGTCCCAGCTCCACCACAGCCACAGTGAGGTCGTGATAGTACACCATGCGTAGCGTGTCGTTGGCAATGCGCCGCCCCGTGTAAGGCTTAGCTCCTGCTGCGGGTTCCCGCCGCTCCGCATCATCAGACCTAGCCCCCACACTGCCGACTAACCCCGCCAGGGACCACCCCGCAGGAAAACTAAACGCAAAGGGTTTAGCAGACGCCGAGGGCGGTGAAGACACCGCGATGCAGAATATCACCACTACCGACAGCAAGGATTTGAGGAGTCCGTCAGCCATCGGCGCGCCGCGAGTGATGGCTTCCCGCGCAGACCGCACCGCGCTCAGCAATCTCCGGAATGACATATCGATAATGTATTTCACTTTTTTAATGGCTAAGGTGTCGCGCGCTCGTCCATGTCGTGCGTGCGGCCCGCGCGTCTCTCTGTCGTGCACTGCGACCGCAGACTGCGCCTCAGCCCGCGGCCCACCACTTTCTTCGGTCGTGACGTCAGATTGACGGTCAGTGTCTGCCCACGGAGGAGTTTCACTTGCATTGTTTGAACTTCCGCGAGTGCTGATAACAATATAGGTCTAGGGCTCGCCGCCCGCGGTTGACACACTGAATGTTGGTGATGCCGGGGTGCTGCAACATGGTGCGGCTTAAGATCTGGAGTACATAATGGCTGATGTTTATTACTATTCCGTTTAAATTTGTAAGATTGCTGAGCATGTTGAGCGCGATTCGGTGGCATTATATAATTAAAATGTTATGGGTTATCGAATACAAGCTTTCTTTACTCGGCCAGTTCTCAAATGTGTAATTACAAGTTTATTTTAAAAAAAGTATTGCCTCCTACATCTTCTTTTTGTACTCCATTCCCATGGTGTCTTTTTTATTTCATCAATCTAAAAATGTTAACCCGTATATGTAGACAATATGACATTAAAACCAATGTGTTGTGAAACTTAATAAAGCTCATGAAACTTGTTACACCTATTTATTTTATTGCCTTAGCATCTGTTTAATAACTTGAATTAGTAGGTACCCTCTTTACCATAAGAGTGACATTTAGTATGTGCCCTGACCTAGAATTGGGCTACCATGTCTTGCTATTCGCGTCGATAATGAAAAATAAGTCGAAATAAAACACTTCGTCCGTGTGGTGACGGATTAAGAATACAGAGTGTCACCACCCCTATTCATCCCGTGGGTGTCGTAAGAGACGACTAAGGGAGAAAACTACGCAGAACAACAGCACTGCAGAGAGAAGGAAAACTTGACACAAACCCTATACCAACCCGTCTGGCCAGCGTGGTATAGTAGGCCAAAACCTCCTTTCTAAGGAGAGGCTTATGTCCAGCAGTGGACTATTAAAGGCTGTTGATGATGATGAAAACACTTCGTTCATTATTTTCAAGCTTACGACTTAATGTTACAGGAGCATTTAACTAGGTATGTGTTATTTAAAAGAAATGTTCATAGGAAGTGATACCTATTTAAAAAAAAAAAACTTTATGGATGTAGAAGAAATTGTTTGTATTATAAGTAACTTTTTCGCTTTCTATTAGAAAAATAATCCATTCCTTTTTATAGTTAATATGGTTTAAAACCTTTATTAGTACTAATAAGAATTCATATTAAAACATATTTTTTCGTAATAAATTACTTTCCATTAAGCGCAGTAAATAATTACTTAAATAGAAAATAAAAAAAATGTTTTGTAGTTTATACCCCAATGCGGCTTCCAGTGTGCCTAGAGGCCCCAAGTCTTTGTATGCCCAGGAGCCCCGTCCTATCCAAAGACAGCCTTGATCCAAAGCACTGACAACTGTTTGAGGGTAAGAAATTCCATGGTCGGTTCAACGTCTATCACATCAGATCTTCACCCAACAAAACTACTTAAAGTTATTAAAGGTGTTGAAGTTTCTCCAGAGACAACAAAATTTTATAATTTCCCTATTTTCTTTATGTATTTCATATGTATGTGAAGCTTGATTACTCTCTCTTTTAAAAGTTTGGCACTTCATTTGTTGTAAAATTAAGGAGTTTTTACAACATCTGAGGACAGGCAAAGTTGTACATATAAAACAGTGTTTTGTTGTAAATATTGATAAGGCGAAAGTTCATTCATAACATTGTATAGCATTTAAACGTTATAGCGATCGTAGAAGGCTTCTTTTTGGTGACGGAATGGAAAATCTCGTCGGTTCGAATCTCCCACTCCTTGGGGACGCAGAACCAAGGAGTATGTGGTGCTTTCACTAAAAGTCATGAACCAGATCAATCAAGGATTTCAAAACTCTTTAACCGCAGACTTCTTTGACGGAATGTAACGTAGTATTTGAAAGTTTTTATACTCTGTGGACATCGAATGAGCCTTTCTATTAAAGCATTTGTGACCTAAGTACTGTAAAAAAAGGTTTTTATAGGTTTTTATGTATATGACTGTTGATGAATGAATGCATAAAACCGGTACCTAAGTTCAACTGCTAGTCCTTTACTGTGTTAGTTATAAAAATGTTTGATTCTTTTTTATTCTGTACCAAAAATCTAAAATTTCTTTAAGTGGTATTCATATTTTATTAAATAATTTTAATACTTTGGGTTTCACGTGTGTTTTTGACCCCAAACGAGTGCAACGATCTACTGTTGTGAAAACTGGGGGTCTTGTAAGATGCGGCAGGTCGCTTCACCTCGTGCTAAAAGTTATCTGTCGGCTTCAAAATTAATTCCACGCTGTCCTGAAATACAAAGATTTTGCGTATTTTTCAATAGTTTTATCGGTAAGCCTTGTCCTATTTCAGATGGTAATCTTATATTTCGTAAGTGACCGAGTTTGACTTAAATTTTACTGACTAAAGTTTAAAAAATTGCGTTTTTAAATATAGGCTATGGATTAACTCATAATGAGTACCCTTTATTCTACTTATACAAGTAAATGGTGCTTCTAAAGCTTTCAATAGAGTTGCGGATTAGCAATTACAATGTGGATTTTGCGAGTATTTTTAGGTATATTTCATTACTTTCCAGTGCGATGTGTTTTTTGTCAAATTAGTTACTTTGTGTCAAAACTGTTAACAAAACGGTGACTGCACGGATGGCGTACTACGTTGAGTGTTGTGGGTTAGATCCCCACATGAGACAACAGTTTGTGTGATCCACAAATTGTTGTTCTGAGTATAAGTGTCTTTTATGGCCGTTTTGCGTTTGTAAAGTCCCTCGCAACCCAGAATATATTACTAGTAAAGGAGTTATCTTTAAAAATAAAACAAAAATAGAAACTTTTATTAAAACCGACGTCATCATCGGTGTCAACATCTAAGAGTTTCTCAATTTTAAAAGAAACGAGTATTATCCATTAGATTGTAATTAGGCAACGCAACTGGTTGTGTTGTGTCAACACTCGTAAGCCTCTTTTAATGTTGAATAACAAATGAAAGTCGTCTGCATATATTTACAGGATTTAAACCGCCTTGCTCCTGACAGCTTTCATTCACAACTGGATTGAGTTGAATACGAATTGTTATATAATCGCACACAGCAATCTTTAAAGTTTGTATTTTTTAATGAAATGGAGAGGCAAATGAGCAGTCGGATCAACTGATAAGGGACTAACGCCATCCATGGACAGCAATTCAAGAGTCAACAGTGCGTTAACGCCCTTTTAGCGCTCCCCTAAACACCGCACGCCGTCTCGGGTACTAATAGCCGGAGAACCAGGTTATACCCTAGAAAGGAAGTCCCTGGTGCCCCGACATACCTCGGGCCATCTACAGACGAGTAGACGACCCCCCCCCGGGTGGGAACAAAGAGTGTTATGGCAGCGGTGGGATTCGAACCCACGCCTCCGAAGAGACTGGTGCCTTAAACCAGCGCCTTAGACCGCTCGGCCACGCTACCCATCCTTTTAGCGCTCCCCTGACCCTTTCTATCAACGGAAGGGTCAGGGGCTTGATTTGCTTTCCGGTGACCTCATTTACTTCATCAACAGCCTTTATTTTTCCCATGCTGGACTCTCCTTGAGGTTTTGGCGGTCACGTCAGTCAGTTTGTGAACACGACCAGTGCACTCTGGTCGAAACGTCTCGCACTACAAAATTATATGTAAATATACCTGGCTCTTTGTTCTACACTCATATTATAAAGAATTAAAGTTTTTGAGTTTTTATGTTCGGGGTAACCACAGGAACTACTGGTTCGAATTGAAAAATTCTTTCAGTTTTGGATAGGCCTTTTATCGAGGAAGGATATAAGCTGTATAACATCACGCTACGACCAATAGGAGCCGAGTATCAATGAAAAATGTTGCGAAGACGGGCATAATTTATTCCTTTTGAACCAAACGAAGTTGTGCGGTTCAGCTGGTATATTATAATTTGTAATTAACTTTAAAAAAGGCATTACCGACTTTAATATGCCAATTGGTCATTCCTTAATTTTCCACCCTTATTGGTTTATAATATTTACAAATCAAAGGGATCACACGGGAAGTACACACTCAAATAAAAGAAGAACTTTCATAATGGGTTTATAACTGACAAGTTCTGAGAAAATTGCACATTAAAATAAATAAAAAGGGTAATAAAAACACAATATACGGACATTCATTTGACGGGCCTGTTGGTCTAGTGGTTAGTGGCCCTGACTGATCGTGGGTTCGATTCCCACCCAGGACAAATATTGTGTGATGAGCACGGTCATTTGTTCTGTGTTTGGGTGTAATGTATATATAATATGTATGTATTTAAAAATATATAAGTATGTTTATCAGCAGTCTGGTTACCATAGCACAGTCTCTGACTAGTTTGGGATCAAACGGCCGTGTGTGAGATGTGTAAGGTTATTATTATTATTTATAATAAAAATAGGAAGGTATCAGCTCTAGAAGAACACAGTTTTTTTGTTGTTGTTCCTATTACCACTGTCGCTTGTCACTTATTGTTTAGTGAACAATGAACAATTGCATTTAAATAATAATGATTACGATTGCTTTCTAAATAATGAGATCATTAGTCTTAAACGTGACGAGTCTTCAGTGTTATGGGGGTATGACTATAAATGATCAGACATGTTTGATGGTATAGTGGGGCAAACAAGAAGACAGGTGACTACTAGATATGGAAATTATTGCTACTTTTAAATCATAATCATATTATGAGATGGTTGGTTTCAGTCACTGCGATTTCTCCTGTCACTGTTATTGTGATTTGGTCGTAGTCAAAGATAAATAAATGCCATCAAAATCGATCACCCTCGACCTTTCACCAGTCTGACGTTGGCGTAATAATAAGTCACAGTGGTTTTCTAAATTAGTCTCAGTTAGGTCTATGTGATTTATAAATCACTAGCTGGCCCGCGCAACTTCGTCTGCGTCTCTAAATAGTAATAAATTTTCTCCGTTTTTTGAAACATTCTTCATTGGTGCTCCGCTCCTATTGGTCTTGGCGTGATGATATATAGCCTATAGCCTTCCTCGATAAATGGGCTATCTAACACTGAAAGAATTTTTCAAATCGGACCAGTAGTTCCTGAGATTAGCGCGTTCAAACAAACAAACAAACAAACTCTTCAGCTTTATAATATTAGTATAGATATGATTTATCACAGTTGATCGTGATTTTTTTCCATCCCTAACCCAAGTACACATGCAAGTAGAGTCACAAGTGCGTTTCAGCACTTTCTATGTACATATGTGCCGAGGAATGGGTCTCCTTCATCATCAGCCCTTAATAATCCATTGTGGACATAAGCCTCTCCTTAAAAAGGAGATTTTGGCCTACTATGGCTCTCCCACATCAGCCAATTAATTGTTATAATCCATTTATAATTATTTTTATAGATTTATACATTTTATGGTGTACTCAATTTTAGGAAAATACATCATTTTAGTGTGGTCTTTTCCGTCCGTGTGGTGACGGATTAAGTATACGGAGTGTCATCACCCCTATTCTTCCAGTGGGTGTTTTAAGAGCCGACTAAGGGAGCAAACTGCGCGGGACAACAACACTGTAAAGAGAAGGTAAAATTGAAACAAACCCTATTCCAACGGGTACACTACACAAATACGAAAAACTTTATTCTGTCAGTCTTAAATACGAATTTCAAAATACCGATATTCATAATTCCGAATGGTTCAAAATGCCTAATATAACAACTTCGATTGATCATTCATCCTATTTTTATAAATCAAACATTTCAATATTCCTAACGTTTATGATTACTATGCTCATAATACCGACTTGATGATAATTCGAAACATAAAAAATTCGAATTCTTTCTATTTTCTCACACAGTTCTAACTTCACTTTACCCAAACGATTCATCAACAATAGAGGAGATCTGATTCTGAATATTTATGCGTAAGTGAATCAGAATCTTAATTTTAGCGGTTATATTCGAAGAATTGAATACCGGAATTTTGTTACTGGACCGAGAACCCATCGAGCATTTGATTCTTCGAACGTATAAAAATTGGAAAGCAATCACATCGCATTTACGACTTTCGGTATGAAATTCGGACTTTTGAAAATCGGAACATCGAAATACGGAATAAAATATTTCGTAGTATTTGGGTGCTCCCTAATTCAACCCGTCTGGCCAGCTTGGTATAGTAGGCCAAAACCTACTTTCTATGGAGAGGCCTGTGTCCAGCAGTGGAGTGTTTCAGGCTGTTGATAAACGTCTTTCCCCTCGTTTTCCTGCAATCTGTGCGTGTTTTATGTAGCATAGTATGTATAATAGCTATTACGAACTTAACCGCTAATTTCCGTTTTGATAAGTACGATTGCAGGTGATTAATGCAAGTGTTTAGTGATTAGAACTAAACACTCGTGGACCGCAACTGATTAGTAATTAGCGAAGTACCCCTCCTTCCTCTTCACTCGCAGCGCTCTAACCGCGTTTGGACATAAAAAACACTGAACACTTGTTGAGGTTTTGTTTCCATAATAGTTGTTGTTTGACGCCCAACTACTAAATTGTAACTAAGCGAAGCAGCTAAAAAGTATTGGACATTACTCACACTTTGACATTGCAACTAATCACTCGCAATAATCACTAAATGCTAATTACCTGCACTAATACTAATCAAACTGGAAACTGATTTAAACCTTGACTTAATTTTATAAATAACTAAATAAAACTATACAGAATAATCTTAACTACGACATCTAGTGTTAAAAAGTATAAACCTTGAAGAAAAGAGCGTACTCCTTCCTAAAAGGCCGGTAACGCGTTTGTGACTCCTGAGTTGCAGACGTTCATGGGCGGCGATGACCAGTCTGCTCGTCTGTTTTCACTCAAATTTTCACTGTTTTCAATCACGAATTTACATTTTAATTCTCCACGCATTAAGGCACAGAGTACAGTAATACTATTAGAGATATTAAGGAGACAAAACCTCAGAAATTCCTCCTAAACATTTGTACCCTTTTTATAATCGTTACTAATATTTTAAAAGCAAATGTAAGTTTTTTGTTACATTTTTTCAAGCCTTAACTACTGAATCGATCAATTTTTAACATGCAAGTTGCCAGGAGTACATACATCCTTACTTATATTATAAATGTGAAATTGAATTTGTTTTATCAATCTTTTACGTCGAAACTACTAAAACGACTTTAAAAATTATTTCACCAATGGAAAGCTACATTATCAGCGAGTAACATAGGCTTCTTTTTACCGCGATAATCGACATACACGCGTGCGTCGCTGGTAAAAGCTAGTAATGTATATTCATTAAAAAAAAATACAAGTCTAACGCACCCCGGGTTCCGTGTAGACGTGTCCAGGCATCGAGATACGTCACAGGCGCTTTTTCTACCGCAGAATACATGTTTTTAATAATTGCAATACTATGTCTGTATAAATATAATAATATACGTATAAACTACCTTATTTGATTTTTTCCTTCAATTTAACTGCGAGATCTTGTTTGTCAGATTTTTATAGCTTCAAACAACCGCCTTTAACAGTCCACTGCTGGACATATGCCTCTCCTTAGAAAGGAGGTTTTGGCCTACTATACCACGCTGGCCAGACGGGTTGGTATAGGGTTTGTTTCAAGTTTTCCTTCTCTTCTCTCAAATTTCTCTTAAACAACCGTACAAGACTAGAATGGTTTATAATCAAAACACATAAACGAGTACATTACTCTTTATTTTCAAGTATTTTCTTGATCCAGTTGAAGTGTATATAAAGTGGGTATGCAATGTAAACGTGCTCATCAGTCTGCACCACTGCCAGCATCTTCACGTGGTCCTCCTGCAGTATCAGCACTGGCCCTCCAGAACTCAACTGTAACAAAGTCTATAATTGAATAAGCACCTTTATTTGACTGGCTTTTTAGTCTAGTTTTTAGCCGTCCTAACTGCTCAACCACAGTTTCTGGGTTTTATGGCTTTTTTTCAATGGACCGGGAATCGAATCGGATTAAGTAGTACGTCAAATTTCTTTTTTTATACCAATATTTTAAATCATGCAGATCTATTTGCATTAGCTAGAATATTTTCCAAAGATATATAGGTACATACACAAACATAAAACTCTCTTTATCCTGTTTTACAGCGAATATTACAATGTATGCTTAGTTTTGGGTCTAAATAGTGCTGTGTCTTCCATATTATGATTATTATTAGTAACAATACACCCACCTGTGTGATATTTCTGTCCTTTTCATCGCTAAACAAACATATCACGTCATTGTTGTTGTAGTTGTACATCGCCTGGCACTCCGCTGAACTCAGTATCAACGCCGACATCATCATAAGTTTCATGTATTCCACCCCATTGTCCTCCTGGATATAAACAACAAACAATATTTACAAACAATAAACTTGTTTATTAAGTGGTATTAGTGCGTGCCACCCTTTATAACATCAATAAACTGGTTTATTGGTGTATATGTGTGTAAACGGGAATTAACGTAATCACGATCGGCGGATCACTGAATATTTCTGTCGTTTTTGTGTCATATGTCTATTACTTATGTGTTTGCAAAGTAACTGCAGTGGCACAGGGATGATATTTTTTCTAGACACTCCCTGAATCTTTACCTTCCCGAAACAATTTTAATTATTCCAGGATGATGCTTCACAAAATTATCCTAGGCCCTATTATCAGTAAGTTAGAAACCTGTTAGTTCTTCTCAATGCTAAAAACAGCGCTCTAGAACAGCCTTTAGTAGAATTTGCCCCGTTACTTACTATGATTGAATGAACTTCATCATCATCAACAGCCTTTAATAGTCCACTGCTGGACAAAGGCCTCTCGTTAGAAAGGAGGTTTTGTCATATTATGCCACGCCGGCCAGACGGGTTGGTATTGGGTTTGTTTTGAGTTTTCCTTCTCTTTGCAGTGCTGTTGTTCTGCGTAGTTTACTGCCTTAGTCGGCTCTTAAGACACCTTATTCTTAATCCGTCACCGCAAGGACAGGAACCTATATTACCTTAACCATTACCCATCCATAGATCATGACATGACCCCTTTTGACTTTCTCCTCAACCAGCTCTATACCAGATCCTTCAAACTCCGGCTCAATCTCCAACATTGCTAAATAAGGCCCAATATCCATATGAACGCCCTTGTGGTTTCCTGGTGTATTGTCCAAATATCCATTTTGCATTATTACCGTAGTCACGTTGTGGACAGACCCATCAAACAGTGGATCGGTAGCGCCTGCCACTACAGTGTACAAAGACCGGTGGTCGGTCCCGTTAGTGCTGAAAGATGATTAATATTCATTGGAAAGGAAACTACCAAAGGGGAATGTTAGGTGTAAGTCATTTCTTATAAACCCGTCTCCGTCTTATAGTATTTAGCTGAATACAAGTATCCGAGCTCCTTGGAGACTCAGGAGCCAGGAGTATTTGGTGTTTCGACTAAAAACCTCTAAAATAGGCTGTTGATGATGATGATGTGAAGAAGTATGTTTTATTATATACATAATTATTGTCATACTTGTTACACTGTATTTTTGTAATGTCTCACTACACGTGTTGGGTAAACTATAGGTGTAGTAAGCAGTTTGAGGCCATCTGTCACCCTAGCAGAAGCAGGCCGGGGTGGCGGCGAGCGCGCTCGCTTCCAGGGAGCAGAGGGAACATGGGGTTCCCACACGGGGGGGGGGGGTCATCTACTCGTCTGTAGATGGCCCGAGGTATGTCGGGGCACCAGGGACTTCCTTTGTAGGGACTAAAACCGCACGCCGTCTCGGGTACTACTCGTAATAGCCGGGGAACCAGGTATGTTCCCCGGCTAAAGCAGTTGATTATAAATGTGATTTCGGATCGCCCGAATCGACGCCACGCCTAATCAGGTACATAATGTCAGACCTAGTGCAAATATCACGACCTTACATTATAATTATGGAGAGATGACGGGTAAAAGGTTTCTTCGCTGTAGTTGACTGTTAAAAAAGTGATAAATTATTTCTACTCGCCATCAGAGTAGAATTTATTTCTACTCGATACTACCATGAGAGCGTTTTTAGGAGATTAACAAGTTATAAGTGAGAGATGATGGATTTTTGGACTAAGATTTTGTTTCCCGAAAAACCCCAACAACATCTTAAAACAAAAAGGTCAATCTTTTTTTATTGAAAGTTTGTTACTTCAGTAGCTCGTCCCTTATAGCTGTTCATAAACTAAATGCACTGTGGAGGGAAGGTAAGGAATTACGCAAGTCTCAGACGGGAAATGGGAATAAGACTCCAGTGTTTTGAAGAGATAACATATTCGTATTTGAAGACACGCTGTGATTGGAGAGACCAAGAGAACATCAAATGGGAAATCAATTTTCTACTTACTCATTAGTATATAAACTCTTTAAGACATTAATGCAATTGGAGGCAGTCAGCACCCAACGTGAGGCAATCAATGTACCAGCGCAAGTTTGCGCGGTAGTATTTGATAGAGTCTCAAATATGGCGACCAGAAATGGCGCTGTTTTTGGATAGTCAACCGCTTTAGTCGCGTTTGTAGATTCTTCCGTCACCATTTTGTTGGTCTCATTGTTTCCTACTACTGTTGTAGTTTCAGCAGCTGGTTCATCATAGTTTAGTTCATACTCTCGATTGACATCATTTTCAAAAGAATCTAAGGGCTTTTGATAATATTCCTCTTTGACATCAGTTTCGGGTAAGGATGAGTCTATCAATGCATTATACAATAATGTTTCTTGTGATTCGTTACTGGACAATGGATGTTTTTCCCTTATTTTAAAAGTAGGTACGGCTTCAACTTTCAATTCGCGGCTTACGGCGTTCAGAATTTGTTCAGTAGTGTCAACGCCACATTTCTGGATTCTTGAAGTTGAGTTTTTTAGTGAATACGGTGCGCCCTGCGTCAGGGTGTCGTTCAAAGCGCTGTTAAAACCTGAAAGTTATTAGAATCCATTTTGTTTTCATTCTAAAAAGTTGATTTTACAATAATTTTGTCTCTATTGGTAACAAACAGGATTATGGTATATTTCAGGTAGGTAGGTATTCAGGTATATAGAAAAGTAAGTGACGTCAGAAGTTTCCACGAGACATTTGTGCCGTTGTGCCTTTTTTTTTCCGTGCGGAAATCCCCTCGGATACCACCTATCGGTGGCATGTCGGACTCGAACCGACTAAAACCGCACGCCGTCTCGGTTACTAATAGCCGGGGAACCAGGTATACCCTAGAAAGGAAGTCCCCGGAGAAAGGAAGTCCCTGGATTTGTGCCGTTGTGCCTAAAGATTGTTTTGTATAAACGATACACAAACGCAGTAAGCGTTTCGTGCCTTGTAAGGTAACTAATAACCACCAAATAAGAGATCCCAGTCTCTACACAAAGAACACCCAAACTTAGATAATAATTTGTGGATCACACAAAGTGTTGTCCTATGTGGAGATCAAACCCACAACACTTAACGCAGCAGGAAGCGGCGAAACAACGTAGTTAAAAGGGCATACGTCTAAAAAATCGGTTTTGGATAAGGACCAAAATTCCACTCCTAAAAACTCATCACACATCACATCAACAGCCTACAACAGTCCACTGCTGGACATAGGCCTCTCCTTAGAAAGGAGGTTTTGGCCTACTATACCACGCTGGCTAGACGGGTTGATATAGGGTTTGTTTCAAGTTTTCCTTCTCTTTGCAGTGCTGTTGTCCTGCATAGTTTGCTCCCTTAGTCGGCTCTTACGACACCCACGGGATGAATTGGGGTAGTGACATTCCGTATTCTACTAATCTACCAAAATTCCACACCTAAACCATTAATTATGCAGAATTGGAATCAGATATGTAATATTGTCCACAGACCTTAATTAACTTAAATATCCATAATATATTCTCAATATAATGACGTAAAAAGCAATTAATAATTATAATTGCATATTTACCAGCTAAATTATCCAAGAGAAACACATAAACCACTACGTTCGACATTTTCAACACAAATGTTTACTGTTACACAATGTGTTTTGTTTCACTTAACAGTTAGTACGAGGTGCTTAGGTTTATGAATAGCGAGTAAGAAAAGGTCATACTGCACTCATATTTTGCCATTGTTCGTGCCAAATACTGTATTTCCTTAAATCAAATCAAATCAAATCATTTATTTGCGAAATAGGTATACCCACCTGTTGTGCGGTCCATGGCCCTTTACGGGTGCCCGGTATGGGCGGGGGCCCTGAAGGCCAGCAACGTCGCGATACTGCGACGACCGCAGCGAATGCTGGCCATCATAAGGGGGTACCGCACGATCTCCTTTGAGGCAGCGAGTCTCCTAGCCGGAACTCCACCGTGGGACCTGGAGGCGAGAGTCCTTGCGGCACTGTATCAGTGGCGCAAGGAGGCGCAGGAGTTGGGTCGATGCCCCGCGATTCGAGAAATCGATGACCGGAAATCCCAACTCCGCCAGGTCATCATAGGGGAGTGGAGGGAACGACTCGGGCAACCGAGCGCCGGGCACGCCGTCATTGCGGCGGTAAGACCCGTTATGGAGGATTGGCTCGAGAGGCGTCACGGGACCCTCTCATACCGATTGTCGCAGGTGATCACTGGGAAGGGATGTTTCGAGGATCACCTGTGTCTGATCCGCAAGGAGCCAACGCCTGAGTGCCACCACTGCGATGGCCAGACCGTGGACACGGCTCTCCACACGCTGGCAGAGTGCCCGGCGTGGGTTGAGCAGAGGCGAGACCTCGTGGCGGCCATCGGAGTGGGAGTTCTCTCGCTCGATAGCCTGATTGCGGCTATCGTGCGGAGCGAGAGGGCGTGGAACTCTGCCGTCTCCTTCTGCGAGCCTTATGTCGGGGCACCAGGGACTTCCTTTCTAGGGTATACCTGGTTCCCCGGCTATTAGTACCCGGCGAAGGCGTGCGGTTTTAGTCGGTTCGAGTCCGACATGCCACCGACAGGTGGTATCCGAGGGGATTTCCGCACGGAAAAAAAAAAAAAAAAAAAAAAAAAAAGGTATACCCACCTATATTCGCACACAGGACGGGTCATCCATAAGCCGTGGATGGCCCGAGGTACGTCGCTGTACCAGGGATTTCCTTTCGGTACACCTGGTTCCCCGGCTACTGGTACCCGAGACGGCGTACGGTTTTTGGTCGGTTCGAGTCCGACATAATCACCCCACCGGTGGGTGATATCCGAGGTGATTTCCGCAAAGGAAAAAAGGGGTATACCTATAATAAAGGTGTTAATTACATTGTATTATTCCAGACCATAATCGGCCCATAGGCATTTAAATTATTTTTTCCTTACTCCTTACTTGACAAATGTACTTATATTTAAAGTAAAATGTAAAACAATAAATCGTAGAAATATTATGTTAATTAACATAAACACATATTAAATACTCCTTAACATCATAATAACATTTGTTGATTAGAAACTCTTTCAATTTTCTTTTGAATAGAGGAATGCTTTGAGTTGTAATAATATAATATTAAGTCGTGAGTTTATTGTACAATTTAGATGCCATACAAAATACACTTTTATTTAAAAGGGTTATTCTACTCGTTTGTACCTTTTTTTTTTTTTTTTTTTTTTTTTTTTTCCGTGCGGAAATCCCCTCGGATACCACCTGTCGGTGGCATGTCGGACTCGAACCGACTAAAACCGCACGCCTTCGCCGGGTACTAATAGCCGGGGAACCAGGTATACCCTAGAAAGGAAGGCCCTGGTGACTCGTTTGTACCTGAATTTTGTGACTGTGTCTATTACTACGAAGCGGTTTATATGAATTTTAATTACTTTTTATGAAAAAAATAACTTCAAAACTATACAATCATCATCATCAGCCATCATCAGCCTTTAATAGTCCACTGCTGGACATAGGCCTCTCCTTAGAAAGGAGGTTTGGGCCTACCACACCACGCTGGCCACACGGGTTGGTACAGGGTTTGCAGTGCTGTTGTCCTGCGTAGTTTGGTCCCTTAGTCGCCTCTTACGACACCATCGGGATGAATTGGAGTGGTGACATTCTGTATTGCTAATCCGTTAATAATTTAAATGGTTGAAAATAAGGTTTACAACTATCATACTTTTTTAATTGACAGATCGCCCGAATACATGTCTTTTGGGATCCTAAAGCAGTTCGCCTATTATTTATCTTCTTTTGTTTGTTTTGGTATGAAATCGATGTCGATGCAATCTACCTGACTACGATCGGGGCAATTTGGTCCAAACATTGATTATGAAGGAAGCCATAATACGTTACCCATGAAAGGAGGAGGGTCTACAAAATACCAAGCTTGGTTATAAGAGTGGGGGAAAACTCTTTTTGAGGAGAGTGATGGCACACAAAAGATGCAATGCACAGGTGTCCATGGACTTCGGTAGTCACTATCAGGGCGACCCGTTTCCTTGTTTGACCACTACTGTATAAAAAGAACAAAGTCAGAATCGAATCTGCTATCTCTGCAACTTTTCTGTTTCAAGCGTGGTATTTGGATGGCTAAGGTTTTCGTCATGTAGTCAATATCATATATAACAAGCGATGTATTAATAAAAAAAAACAAATTATGAAACGAATTATTTCAAAAAAAACTTATTAACTGTCAAAAATGTAAAAAATGGATAAAACATAGTAGGTGAGCTGGCAGTTGATTTATCGATTCTAAATTTAGAGACCAAGGGAGTTATGGCTATACAAACTTTTAGGTATAGCCATAACTCCTGGAAGTTCCAGGAGTTTGGGACGACGCGTAGGGAGTAAGAGAGTTGAAAAAGGCGTTTAAGATTTATAAAAAGGAAACAAAGAACACCTAGACTCAGAACAACGCATTGTAATCACAAAAAGTGTTGGGCCATGTGGAGGACCACACCTACAACACTAAACGTAGTAGGAAACGGCGAGGTGACCGCTTTAACCACTACGCCATCCGCGCAGTTGTTAAATTATGTGTTATGATTTTATTAATAATTAAAGAATAAAACACCAATTTTCAAAATAATTCAAAATATTTTATTTAAAAAAAAACATTTATACATTTTCTTCAAACATTCACAACCTTTACATACCAATAATTTTATATAAATGAATTTGCTAAATATTTAACTATTTAAGTATTTTTTCCGGTAGTAAGCAAATATATAAATTATGATAAACTCTTACAATTTTAATTCACCTTTGATAGGTAGTTTTTAACATATTCAAACGTAGTAAAAACACATTAAATCCATACAGATTTTATATTAATATTTACATTTAATATCTTAATATGTCCGGGTTTGGTTCACGGCGACATTTCGCAGTCCCCGACGAACAAAATCGTAATAGGAAAATAACAATTTTACAGGAGCAAATAAAAACTGAATATCTTGAATACTATCAAGACTAAAAAGAAGATTCTTTTATCAAAAATAAGGAAATATTTTTTTACACTAGATTTTTACTAAATTTTTATCATAAATTTTCTTTATCAGTAAGAAAATTGTGAAAATGTCCATTACTGAAATAAGCTATGGAAAAAATTAACGCAAACTAACTTTACGATAGTGTTCGACTGTAATCACAAATCGGTGTTGCTGTAGTAATCGTTCATTATGATATTGTTCCATGGTAAATATGAATATACTTTATATTCGTAAAATGACATTGCAATCGTATTCCATGATATAACTGACTTTAATATTACGGTAAACATAAATTACATGCTTATTCGATGATCATTTTTAGGTGTTATAACTATTTCGGTACCTATGTATAAATTCTGATTCTGATTCTGTCATTTTTCCCTCGAACATAGCCGCTTACTCTAAAATGTTGACTTTTGAGATTTGGTAATAGGTTTTTGCGTTATTGATCGTGTAAATTTTTCACTTATGTTATACGTTGAACAAAAACATAAAGATCATTATTGAATGGATAAATCCAAAAGTATTCATCGCCCGATCATAAAAAAAATTCAATGATTGTAATAGGGTGTGTAGATAACGAATATCTAATAAACCCGATTCTATCGTAATAGCGATTACCATAGTGTTCGTCGGGGATTGCGATTTGACAGTTCGGTAACGAATTTTATAATGCGTTTGATGAAGTGCCTTCTAGTGTTCTATTATAGTCTATTCGGAAGTTATTGCTACTTTTAAATCATATTCATATGATAAATGATTGGTTCAGTCACAGTTAGATTTGACATGTGATTGTTATTTCGTCATAGACAAAGATAAATCCCATTAAAATCAATGAAAATTATTTTTATCAAAGATTACGATATTTTTTAGATTTAGACCTTTTGCGAGTCTTGCGCTATCGTAATAATAATAAGTCGCAGTGGTGTTGTAAATTAGTCACAGTTGTGATTACATAATTAATAAATCATATGATTTATCACATATGATAGTGATTTTATTCCATCCCTAGTCTATTCGCATTAAGAAAATAGCGAAGCATCGAACAAGCTTCGCTCCGCTTGACCAATCAGGTCCCAGGAAATTATCGCATGGTACGAAATCTTGGAATCTGATATTCCAGGGTGTAGGGCTTGATCATTGCCTCCCTATTTTCTTAATACGAAGAAATTATAGTCATCACACATCAACAGCCTTTAACAATCAACTGGTGGACATAGGCCTCTCCTTAGAAATGAGGTTTTGGCCTACTATACCACGCTGGCCCGACGGGTTGGTAGAGTGTTTGTGTCAAGCTTTTCTTCTATTTGCAGTGCTGTTGTCCTGCGTAGTTTGCTCCCTTAGTCGGCTCTTACGAAACCTACGGGATGAATAGGGGTGATGACACCCCGTATTCTTAATCCGTCACCGGATACGGATTATAGTAATAATAGCAATAAAGGTTAGTAAAAGCGGCGGTAGCCTAGTTATTAAACATTGGACTTGCGATCAAGAGGTCGTGGGTTCGAATCCTGACCAGTACACTACCGACGTGAACCCACTCCTAACACAAGCAATTTAGCTTAGCTTAGAGCTGGAGCCTTTAAAAAAATGAAAAAAAAATCTTCTGTTTGAAACAAAATTTACTTATATAAAACACGCCTTATTATTTATGTAAAAAGTAAAGCACAAATAATAATGAATATAATATTGTGAGATATCGATTATAATATTTGAACTTGACATAGAATTTTAATCGATACAACAAAACAAATAGATTATTCTCGATATAATTCACTAGCTGACCCGCGCAACTTCGTCTGCGTCTCTCAATAGTAATAAATTTTCTCCGTTTTTGAAACATTCTTCATTGGTGCTCCGCTCCTATTGGTCTTAGCGTGATGATATATAGCCTATAGCCTTCCTCGATAAATGGGCTATCTAACACTGAAAGAATTTTTCAAATCGGACCAGTAGTTCCTGAGATTAGCGCGTTCAAACAAACAAACAAACTCTTCAGCTTTATAATATTAGTATAGATGAAGATTCGTTTGACAATGTTTCAGTAATCGTCTAAGCATAAGTGGAGGGTAATTTTGTGTAGATTTTCATTCGTTTCTTAAGCTATTCAGGAACACAGGAAATCGTTTACTGACTTTTATTATTTAAATGATTATTTCAATCATTATTATTTTGGCACTGCTATTGCTGGCGAATTTTAACCAAAGGTTGCAGGTTCGATTCCCGCTCAAGTCAAACATTTGTGTGCATGAACATTTAATGTTTGATTTGGTCTGGGTATTTCTATGTCTAACATGTATGTATTTAATAAAAAAATAAGTATATATGTATTTATATTAGTTGTCTAGTAGCCATAGTACAAGCTCTGCTTAGTTTGGGACTAGATGGCGTTGTGAGAATGTGGTACAATAATATAATATTATTATTATTAATTTGCTCTTCCTGATCATAAAATCCGTAAGCTACTTTTATACCTAACAATAATGATATTTCGTATTTACAGTAAGTGTGGCCACTCCTTTACAGTTATATCCTATGATTTTAAAGTTATGTTGAAGATTACATTTAAAATATATCTCGGAGAGATTTACACTTTTGTGTTTTTATCTATTTGATATTTTTACTTATGTAGATTTTTTTTGAAACATTGATACCTAGAAAACACTTTTGATAATAATTATTAAAAAAGATTTTTCTTTAACATGGCAACACTGCTAACCTTCAGAGAAAGTTACCACTAATAAAAAAAAAATGTAGAAAAAAATCTTATGATATCATTCTTACATCTAGTGTTTTCGTAGTAACATTAATTATTTAAAAAAATATTATAATTCTTCAAATTGAGTTAATCAATTTTTTTTTTAATTTTTATGCATACAAAAATTCTGATTAAACGAGTACCTAAAACATAAAATAAGTGTAGGTGTCGTTTCCTATGTAGATGAGCTTATTATTTACAATAATTACGCTCCAAAGATAATACAGGGTGTAAGGGACGTCGTAACGAATACTGAAATAGTGTATTCATTCTGAGTCTAAAATCATTAGAATTTTCTGCCGGAAAATTAAACTTTTTATGCAATCAGCTCTCAAATGTTAAGGTCGTTTCCCGTAGGTATCGCACAAAAGTAATAACAACATATTATTTACTATTATTTATTTATGTTAGAGGGGGCAGACGAGCAGACGGGTCACCTGATGGTAAGTGACTATCGCCGCCCATGAACGTCTGCAAGTCAGAAGTCACAAACGCGTTGCCGGCCTTTTAGGAAGGAATACCTACGCTCTTTTCTTGAAGGTTTGAAGGTCGTATCGGTCCGGAAATACCGCAGACGATAACCCGTTCCACAGATTGGTTGTGCGGCAAAAAGTGTCTCGAAAAACGCACAGTAGTGGAGCGCCAACTATCCAGGTAATGAGGATGAAAATTTTGACGTGTGGAACGATGGAGGGAATTTGCGGCTGGTATTAGTCCGAACAATTCCTCGGAGCACTCTCCATGATATATGCAATAAAGAATGCAAAGTGAAGCCACATCTCTACGTAACGCCAAGGGATCGAGCCGATCGGAGATGTTAGGGCTATCGACGATTCGAGTCGCTCTACATGTGTATTCCGTGTAAACAGTCTACGCACACTAACACAAAATGGCGGCCGGGGAGTAGAGGCCCCGCGCGCTTCGGCTGTTTGATTAATTACATTGCAGTCTTTTGGTATTTATTAAAAAAAAATCGGTAAAATGTTCTGTCTACTCATTGTGATCTCATTTTTCATATTTTAACCAGATTCTTAAAATGGAAAATTTAAAAAAAATGATGAGTTTTCCGGCAGAAAATTTCAATGATTTTCGACTCAGAATGATAGTCTGAATACCCTATTTAATACAGTAGAAAATACAAATCTTTTTACAAATGGATACATTTTATTTAATGTACAAATTACAACATATTTGATTTAATCATAGACAATGTATCGCAATGTGATTTAAAATTATACATAGCATAAAAAGCACTGTAACATATATTTTTTTAAGTTTTTAAAATAAATAACCCTTCTCTTTTATTTGTCGTGTGGAAACCCCTACCCCCTAATCTTATTGGGGTTAATAAATTCCTTAAGACTAGGAATGAAATTCCTATGAACCCGGCATACTTGGCCGCCTGACAACAGCTGACCTATCACACCTCTTTACATATAGTTTAGTTATTTTTGTCTGTATCATATTAAATCAATTGTACAAATTCAAGAAAACAGGAGGAGAGAGAGAGAGAGCTTATATTCTCTCTCTCTCTCTCTCTCTCTCTTTCTCTCTCTCTCTCTCTCTCACTTATTTTTATTTTTGGTTTGGTTTGTTCCTTTTCTCTTTTTCGATCTTTATTTTGCATTACAGTTACGAACTAAAATAATTTACACACGAAATAAAAAAATACCTTATAAATTTGTGTTCGGTTTCTTGTTTAGCGAACTAGACTAGTCTTGGAACTTCTTCCGTTACGTCGATACTAGCATTGCACTTGTCATTATGATAAATTTGTTAGAATTAAAAAAAAAAAAAAAATTGCATAATTTCTTTCTTAGCTTCTACCTGCGACTCCGTTCGCGAAAATTTTATATTTCTATCCCTAGGCAACAGCTCTTTTTTACCTCTTCTCTGTTCTTTGTCATAGATCTGACAACGTTTATGCGAAATTTAATAATGATCAGCAGAGCAGTTATAGAGTTAACGCGTGACAGACAAACTAATAAATAAACTCACTTTCGCGTTTTTAACATACTCCGTCCATATTCAGAAGAGATAAAAAAGTTACCAATATTCAATAACTCCAATGATCGTCTTTGACTCTTTGGCCAGTATTCTCTGGAATATAACCCGTGATGTACGGCAGACCAGTGCCCACTTGCTTCTGGTATACCACGTACTGAGGCCCAAAGAATGTGAGTAGTGTCAACTCTTCTGCATACACTCTTTCCCGGAAGAAGGTCCATGATGCTAACGCATATACGATGATGCAAACTGGATTTAACAGGGTTATCTGAAAGTAGATTTTTTTGATGATTTCAAATGTGAAAAAGAGAAGAGAAGAAAAGTTATACAGTCAAAATGTGGGATACCGTGGATGCCACGACCTCACAGGAAATCAGCTAGCAGAGGCTTAATTGGACTGCAGACCCATGTGCCTCTCCTCCCTAATTCTTCACTGAAAGGGCGATACCACGGAAGACATAATAGTGCAGGTACAGAAGACTCACTTTGAAAAATGATTTTAATAAATTTACTAATGTATTGGTGTTTTACTAACTTTTGTTTTCCTTTTACAAATAAACCTTTTTTTTAGAATGTGGAAACTCCCTCGGGTCGTCACACCACCGGGGTTTGCGGTGGGGTAGTGTGTCTTGCTGTTATTAAGACATCTGGACCTTTACAAATAAACCTAGGCTAAGTGCTACAATAAGTGAAAATATACGTGCAATATGGCCGTGGCGCGGCAGCCCACTAACTTTGGCTCGACAAGTCGAGCCCGCCGTGTACTTGTAACTGCATACCTAAATATTGGAATGGGTCCGGCATGACACTATTAAAAAAACCGGTTAGATATGAGTCGAACTCGTGAGCCGAAGGTTCCGTACCTATCCAGATTTTACGTAGATTTTCAAAACAAATCAAAAACACATAAAAACTTAGCCCGTAGTTACAGTTACTTGCGCATATGGTTGCTACTCCGTTCCTAATGCCTAGTTTAAATGCGTGCCGAGGCTTAGCAAACGTACAAGCTGCAAGCCTTTACAAACGCTTGGATGCCATTTACACGCTTGCGAGTGTGCTATTGTGTTCCGGACAGGCAAACATAGCAGATATTTTTTCACACGTTTTTTTGTTCAAAATATAAACGGCAGCACTAAACTAAAAAAAAGTATTGTCTGGCCCTACTGCTCAACTACACTGCTGAATCAGGAGAGCATTGAGACTTAATGTTGATTCCCGATTTATTAATGAGCTGTAGGGGAACAAGCACGTGTGCAAATTTTTTTCTCTCTTTTCAATTCCAGCCTCAAATATATGCAATCCCATTTAAAAATTGCCCTTGACCCTTGAGATAACCTTCAATTTCAAGGTCACCAATGGATAGCCAGGGAAAATTCATATAACTTTTGTATTTATCGTATTTCCGAAAAATGCATCCTGCTGTTCCAGTACTTTTCTAACACCCGGTACAGGCTATATACCTCTCCCGAGAATAGGCAACTGTATATTAATAAAGGGTTAATGTTTTCCTCAACTTACCTGTGTACCAATAGACCAGTAAAACCAGCCAACGTAGCTGGGATGCCGACAGATGGAATAGACGCCATGTGTCACCAGTTGGTGGTCTGGACGCTTCACAAATTGCACCTGTAGTAGGACAAAGTATGAGTTTTGAAAAAAAAACATAAGATCAGACTGCTTCTACTCTATGGTTAGACTTTTCTAAAAGTTGTAGCGACTTTCACAATTACAATAAAAAAAAATACCTACTTTAGTTGTACTGTTACTGTTTTTGTACGTATTTGACATATTGGCCTTGACATCAATGTAAATAATTATTATTTTTATAGTAACATGACAATCTGACATAAATGAAAATTATTTAATTCTATGCCATCTAACGAAGACACACCGAACTACCAAGAAACTCCTAAATCTGCGTCGTAAAATGAAAGTTCTAGCTTGATTTGCATATTTATGTATCATCATCATCAGCCGGCTCCTGCCGGCCATCTGGCGTAAATCGTCACTCCACCTGGCTTGTGGGCGTCCTACACTATGTTTGCCTACTCGGTCGGTACGCAGTCTCCACTCGTTTACCCCAAAGGTTTTTGAAGTAGTATTTATATGTATACCAGTTCCTAAAACAACCGCTGCTCACTAGGCATGATTACCTCGCCTGATCCTCCCTTTGTGATGTAGGGACTCAGACTTGTGACTCAGAGAAAAGTAAAGAAACACTTAACACTGGTACATTATTTCAATCTTGCGTTCACAATGTGTGCAAGAACAGATGCGTATACGCATGTACATGACTAATTTGACTAATTACAATACTCACGGTATGATTAAAGTTAGTTCTAGCAGTAAACATGGCCGCCTTTCTTACAACTTCTCCCGTAATGCACATCACAACTCCAATAACTGATATAAAGAAGTAAGTCTTCATACCTTAAAATAATAGAAGAACAATTAAGCATTTTAGAAGAAAGGTATTTTTAGGGTTCCGTTCCTCAAAAAGAAAAACGGAACTCTTATAGCATCACTTTGTTGTCCGCCTGTCTGTCAAGAATCTTTATTTCGGGATCGTGTGGAGGCATCGAGTTGCAATTAAAACATATATTCAGGTCGACAGTTGCTCGAAGCTGTGAAAAAATCAAACTTCTAAATTGACGTAAAAAAAGATATGGCCGTTTATGCCGCAATAAACGCATATTTCGACACGCAGGGGAATTAAAATTTATAGGGTACTTCCTACTGCCCTAAAACGAATTAATTTGGCAAGCAACATCGTCTTATAGTACAAGTTCAGGGAAAACTCTGCAAACTATATCAATTATAAAAAATATGGTCTTTACTGAAAGTACGTAATCAATCATCGACGTACAATTTCACTTATAAAACACAATAATATGTTAAGTAATAATATAATAACTGTAAACCGAACTTCGGGAAAAGCTGGGATAAAACTGCGACACGCGATTCCTGAACTATTTATAATTTGTACGGAACCTTCGGATGGCGTGTCCAAATCGCACTAGCCCACTAATTATTAAGGGACTTATTACACACAGTTTTGGTGATCTCAACGCTAATTAGGTAGTAGAAGTTAATTGCAAATACATACATACTATAATCAAATATTCGCACTAAGCGGAAATCGAACCGGCGACCCTGTTCCAATCGAAAGCTTCACCACTGTGGCACATTTATAATGTTTCTCTGATCTTCTTCTTCAGATGAAAAGAGAATTATCGACCCCACCACCTCTAATGGTGTGGTAAAATTTACTACACTGCATCTAATAAGCCGTTGTGGTCTCATTTGATGAGGTGGCAATTATTGACGTAAAGAAATACGACACTTCTAATACTTTTTATATTCGCCTAAAGCTTTCAGGACTTACTGGGGAAAAAGTAGTACTCCACAGCCCACTCAATCCAACTGCTGACTGCTGCAATCCCATACTGCATACTATGGTTCAACACAAATGAGTCTGTTGTCAGAGTTCTTGGGTTCGTCAAAGCAACAGCCATGAACTCGGAGAAGTGGAAAAAAGATAATATCATGGTATATAGGCCAAACACTTTCCAGCCATTGTCAAAAGTAGTAAGGTAAAGTCCTAAAGAAAACACTGCGCCAAGGAACGCTGACCTGACAGAAACCTGAAAATTTTAACAAGTTTGAAGTATGGATGGCGTATTGGTTTGGGCGGTTGCTACTGCGCTGAGTGTTGTGGGTCCAATCCCCACATGTGACGACACTTTGTGTGATTCACGAATTGTTGTACTGTGTCTGGGTGTTCTTTGTGTCCGTTTCATGTATGTTTGTAAATTCCCCCACAACACAGGATATATTCCTAATGCGAGAGGTCTTTTTAAAAAGAAATTTAAAAGAAAAACCCTAATAATGCTGTCTCCCTTTCTGAGTGCAAGACTACCTAACTATATAGGTGGTGCTACTAAACAGAAATGCAATACATAAAAATGTAATGTAGGTTGTAATGTTAGTGATATCAGTATTCCAAATGCGTTTTTTAATGTCTACAAATTCAAATTAATAATGTGGATTCCCTGTCAAAAATAGTTACATTGGTTGATCTTTAAAAATTTATTACATTGTTGTAATAAAAACGTTTTGTAATCATTATAATAAAAGGTATTTTTCTTATCCCCCTTTTCAAGGAGCAGTCTATGTCCAGCAGTGGACTATCAAAGGATGATAAAAGGATCAAAGACTAGTGGATGATTATGATAAATACACATCACTTTTGACAGTTTAGCATCAACACTGCTTGGCATGTAGGATATACTCAAATGGCGTATAGCGTTCTGCGGGTGCAGTTCAACAATGCATTCCAGGCATTGTTGGAGCTGCCTTGTTTCTGCAGTGCTTCAGGAATATTCGCCAAAGCCAGGGTGGATTGCTTTTACTCCACAATTATAAAGCAATGTGCATCCTTGCTCTGCAGGGTGCGAGCCAGCCCCATTCGAATTCTGGGGATGATAGCTGCTAGGCTCGGGCCTAGCATCATCCCCCGAATTCGATTCGATTCGTGCTTCATATAGGTAGAGTAGAGAAACTAGAAGTAAGTTTTGTTTTTATATTTTTTAGTATTTTTATCTTTGTTTTTGTAAATGAGGAACAGTATGGGTTTAAGATACCCGAATAAAGATTATTATTATTATTGTACCGATATTGCCTGTGGTTGTGGATTAAATTATTATTACAAACATGATCCAATCGACCCCAGATTCACGATTGTTTTGAACTGGGGCAGAAACTTAATAATAGCACTACCTCTCCAGTGTTTGAGGTAAATAACTTATAAATATATTATGATGGTTGGCATTTTTCGTGATTGGGAGGTAACAATATTGGTATTGTTTTTTTTTTTAACTGTATTATATTATGATTTTGGTGCCCCCTGAATAGTGGTGCCCCGGTGCCCCCCCCCCCCCCCTCCCTTCCAATCATAAGTCTGATTAGTTCATTAGCCCATAAATATGTATGCCCAAAATAGCCCTTCATTACATCTTTCTAATACTCACACACTATTAGATTTAGAATCATTTACTTGAAGAATTTGGGTTTAAATTCAATTTGAACAAGAAATTCAACAAGAACATAAAGCCTGATAAATTTAATTTTAAACAGGTTAGAGATATATTGGTACACATACAAAAATTCGAACTAGAATTCTAGCAAGCTAATAATAGCTAGTATATTAATAAAACAAGAATCTTTGCTTTTAATCCAAATAAATTTTATATTTAATTGCTTTAGGTTTAATTTTGAATACGTTTTTATATGTTAATTTTATGAAAGCAGCTAATTAAATCAAAATCTCACCTCGTATGTGAAACCCTTAAAACAATATCTTAAAACAAAGTTAAATAGGCAGAAATATAGCGCTGGGCCCCAGTATGTTAGTGCCCATAATTCAGAAGAGAAACCGAGCACACTTCCAGAGAAAAATGATATTGTAAATATAAGCGCCGAAATAGAAAAACATATTAGAGCTTGTTTTCCTCCGGGACAAATGTTTTTCCACCTTATAACATCCATATTACTGTTGTAACAGCAAATTTCCCTTAACTACTGCAAAATTTCTTAAAAAAATATCACTTTTTTCTTTTTAAGTACCCATTCATGACTCGCTCACAATTTATAAAGAATAGGCTAATATTATAACATTGCAACTTGACTATTCCATCACTTCCACTTCTAGACCTGATTATTTGTCAATCTGACTTTGACAATTTGACTGCCACGATCCGTTACACACACAAAAAATAAAAATTCAAGTTATCAAAATCAAATAATCACTTTATTGCTATTCACTTAGGAGGTACTTTTTTATTAAAAATACTTAAATGGAAATCATTGAGGCTATTGCCCACTATCAATGATTGAATTGTTTTTCATTTGATGATTTTTTTAATCATTGTTCCCATGACAACACGATTATTTGTTTGACAACTTCTTTTTATTGTTTTCATCGCACTACAAATTACTTGTTTTCTTCTGACAGCGTTACGATTGGCGGTCAGATTTTGCGTTGGGACTTAACTATGATTATGATTGGTTACATCACATAGACAAAACTAAATTGTTTAAAAGGCAGTGAGAACAATGACAATCTAACTAGTACTTTCAATTTCAAATTCACGTTATGGTCCACTCCGATTTTGACATTAATTTTGGTAAATAATCCTTATAAAGAAATACATCACCTCAATTTTCTGTTTCGAATCTATTCGCAAATGTTAAATTTTATGAGCGATTGTTAGTAGTCCGGTTAAAATATTTATCTGACGTAATCGTCCGTGACAACATCTGTGCTAAATTACAATGCCGTCGGCATCTAATCAAATTAAATTTCCTTTAACATAAGGTTCAAAATCAGTGATTTATTACTTTAGATATATAGTAAAAAGTGTTCTGCAACTTCCTATGGATAGTAGCAATCGGATATTGATGAGATAGCTGTTTGTTTGGCGCAGTTAAGTTATCGGTAGATGAGATTGGTTGCGGGAGCTACGATGAACGACCCTTGGGACGTAAAGGCTGTCCGACAGCCTGGCCAGTATTTGTCCTGTATGAAAATTAATGGTGTACCGCTTCTGCCTCCAGTTGTAAGTACAAAATACATAAATGGGTGCCTTAGTTATTTGAGTTAGAAAAACTAGTTTCAGATTTCTATTTTGTAGGCTACTTTTTTAGTTTTCATAATCCACTACATCCTGGATCATGTAAAGTGTGAATTCATCCCTTCGGCCGCCTACGAAACCAAGTTTCGTAATCAGTTTCCAGAAAAGAATAATGTTTTGAAACTCCTAAATAAAATCTTGCAATAGAAACTGTTTGATTATTCGAAGTAGTTTGACATCTAACTTATTATTAAAATACTTATTCAAAAGGCTTAAATCACCTAAATTATTGTATAATATTCTGAATAAAGCCTATTATAATTATAATCATTTAATTAGTTAGTTTTATGTGTTAAATAAAACTAGAAATCAATTGAAGTGTAATTACAGCACCATCGGTTTAGAAAATAATATTATTTGTTTCATACTAAATAAAGGTAATTTTAGTAAAATAAGTCGTCTACAGCTATGTTAAAATCATTAATATGTTTATTTCAAATATGGAATTATTTTTAATAATTATTTTATAATGACTGCACGGATGGCATAGTAGTTAAAGCGGTTGCCACGCCGCTTCCTACTACGCCGAGTGTTGTAGGTTCAAACCCCAAATAACAAATTGTGGATCACTCAAATACTTTGTGTGGTCCACAATTTGTTGTTCTGAGTCTGGGTGTTCTTTGTGTCTGTTTCATGTATGTTTGTAAAGTCCCCTGCGACGCAGGATATATTCCTAATGCAATGAGTTGTCTTTTAAAAAATAATAAGAAAAATAATTTGTTAATAAAAGAGACTACTGTAGTTGCTATACCCATTGTAGGAATTATAAATAAAGGATGTCATAGTGAAACGACACATTAGACTAGCGATAGTACAAGTACATATACATACACAATTTTTATTTAAAATCGTTTTCATCGTGCGGAAGTGGATAGTAAATTGTTTCTCATCCATCAACATATATTTTATTTATGGGTTTCAAAAGAAGAAACATTATTCTTTTATCAAAACGAGTTTTCAAGGAAGAAATGTTATTCCTATTGCAAAATGAGTTTGAAAACTTGGTTTTGTATGCGGCCGAAGGAGAATTAAGAGGAACTTAAATCATATTTCGATTTTTTATATTTTATAACACAATCACAGTGAAATACTGTCTTCCTTTTATGAAACGTCATGTTAATGTGTGCTATAGTGATATTTCGATGGGGGCTAACCCATCGAAATATCACTATAGTCCATATATTAAAAATAATGAAAATTAAAGACACAGTTCCTCTAAGCCCACTACCACTAAAAGCCACTGAATTATATTTTATATTTCTTAAATTTTACTCTTCAGTCTTATTAGTTATGCAGTATTTAAAATCATTAATAATAATATATATTCTAATAGATTACCTGAATAATTATGCTATAAGTGCAATCGGCTAAATAACCATGCCCTGCCGTGTTTTGAATGTGTATGATGTGTGAGTTTTAAGTGTTTCAAGTGTGAACACATCTTACTACAGTTGTATGTGAATACATATAGTTTTTATCATCATTTCATCCATAGGATGTACACTGTCAGATATAGGACATACTTTGTAACTTACAAGAAAATTGGTTGTAAGCAACATAGAAAAATAAATAAATTTACAAAGGAGTATATTACAAAAGAGTTTTTAACCTTTGTCAACCTTCATGATGAACAATAGTGAAGGTAGTCAATTATGACCTAATTTCTTGCAAATTATTTTGCAAAGTGGACCACATTAGAAATTAAAACGAATTTAATATATATACCTTTTTTTAGTAATCACATCGTCTTTTACAACTTCAATGGTAGACAGTTCTTTTAATGAAAACATTATATTTTTCATATAACGCTTCATATACCTTTCGTGCAATTCAAACCTGACATATCTATCATTTCATTGCCTCTTATCTATTTTATTATTATTATTATTATTATTATATATCTAATACATTATTGATGTCAATTAAAATTGTGCAAATAATGTAAAATTTATCATTCTCCTACTTCTAAAATTAATTCGTCCTTATCCTTAACTTGTGTTTTGAAATTGTCTTCTCTTATAGTTATCCAAAGAATGTCGAAAAGAGATGCAATACTACAAAGTCCTTGCCAAAGAAGTAGAGAAACGCATAGCACATCTTAAACAGTATGTTTACGACACTAGCTCAGACTCTGAAGACAAAACTGATGCTCCTGAGCTTTCGGAATGTGAACAGAGCTATGATCTAGCGGAGGAAGAAATACAAGCAGGCTTTAATGTCAATATAGGCAGCATAAAAGCTGTTACCACAGGCACAGAAATGTCTTCCGAACTAGCCACAAGAAATGGCAAAGATGCTACTAAAAGAGGCGAAAAATTCGGATCAAATGCTCCAAAATTCTTCATAGACTTGAATTTGACGATCAATGAGGCAGGCTCCAAGATCCTTGAAACAGTTCAGAAAGCTGAATCTCCCCCTGCTCTAGAAGTTCCCGAACGAGATTATAATTGTGTCAGTAGATTTACTCAACAAGTTATAACTGAAAAAGAAGTAGTCACTACAGTAGAAACATGCAGAAATATTGAAAAGAAGAGTATAGGGGATAATTTTGATTTTTGTGATAACAAAGATGAGTCATTATCGGATCCACTTACAGAAATACCTTTAAGTCCAGATGGGCCATCTTCTCTCAGTTCTAAAAGGTTTACAGGGTCTCTCGACAACTTACACAGTGAAATCACAAAAGACTCTCTCAAAAATAATTCTAAATTAGTAAGGCAACGATCATATACTTTGCTTTACCCGAGCCCTCAACTTCTCGCTCACCTTGAAACACACTCTCAAAATACCGGTATTGAAATGAGTTCTATTTCTATGAGCGAATCTCTTTCGAATATAAGTTCACCCGGTAAGAAGCGCAGAAGCTGGGATTTAGAATCTGCCAAGGTAAAATGGTCAAATATGGCCTTGGAGCTTAAACAGAAAAGTGTTGCTCACGTCATCAGCACTGTGACCAAGAATACACCGAAGTCAGAAACGAAACAAAAAATTCCACTGCGTGCGAAGTCCATTGACCCCGCCGTAGCTAAGCGTAACAATACAATCGCAAGAGTTTTGCCTAAATCGGAACCTATAGCGAAGAATAAGACATTGATTGTTGCCAAAAATCATGTAAACAGCCGTTCGTTAGATCAACAGGTATCATCACCTAAATCCAAAATAGAACGATCTCTGAAAATGCCAACAACTCCTGTGTCAGAAGTTGCTGATCCAGCGGCACGTGTTCGAGAACTTTACGAAAAAATACAGAAACAACAACTAGTACAAATGGAAAATTTGGTGGAGAAACAGAAGAAAGAGCAGCTATTGTTGCAACAAGTGTTCGAGGAGCAGAATAACATGCTCTTCAAGCAGTTGAAGACAATTTGTCCCAAATCTCCCGTCGAAGCTAAAGAGGCCTGGAGTGACAAACAGTATGAAGAAGACCGGGGTCCTGTCAGCTTAAGTCAACTTATGAACTACAAGTCTGCAACTCTGACTGACACAAACCAATATTTAAATCATTGTGAAGATGTTCTAAAGAAAAGCAAAAACATAACCGGAAATCTCAAGAAGGTCCTTGCCACGGCTCACAGTACGAATGCGAGTAAGATACAGTCACCGACGAAGCAGTTGGAAGGTAGTAGAACTCGTACTCATTCTCCTGTGAGGAATCCGACGTCCCGCAGACTGAACTATGATACTTCAGCGTCGTCCGACCGCGACTACGAAGCCATGTTGACCGATCGAACGAACGACACGATGGCCGACCTGAACGTAACGTTCCCATCAGATAATAGCGATGAAGGCAATAATAATAACAATCTTTTAAGCCACTTATGTAGTAAAGTCACCAAATCCAGTAACGGAAGTTCAGTTCATACAAACTCTGTTGTACATTCAAGAGTTACAGAGAAAACTATCAAAAATGTGGGACGCTCTGTGAATAGTTCGATGCAGAACTCTTCGGCTCGAACGTCAAAGATAGCGAGTTATAAACACGTACCGAACCCCCGAGAGGTAAGCGATTTTTTTCTTTATTTACGCTGTCTTTTATGAGAACATTAACTAGTTGTAGTCTGTAAACTATTGTATTTTACAATTATTTCTAGTTGTAACGTAATGTAGTAATTTTTGTAAACTACTACTTATCAGAAAAGCTTCAAATCCGTTGGCGTTCACACCTTTTTATTGTAATAGTACAGCGATATTTGACGTTGTTTGTTTTTGCTTTTACATTAGCGGAGTTATCTAGTTAGGCATATAAGATACAGGTCCGTATATTAAAGGAAAGTGTTATACTTTATGAGTGTATTTCGGACATGCCCGTCTAGTTTCTGATCCGATAGCAACACAATTTCTTTTTTCAAGGGATGAAGTGATCTACCGCATGTGGCCACCTGACACCTACAAAGTCGTTTCCCTCATTGATAAGGGTCTTTTCAGGATATAGACAGGTCGGTCTGCTTCGATACATACACTTGAGTATAACCTATAGTTAAACCGCCGTAAGCTTGGCCCTCCTGATGGTTTGCGGGACGCGGGGCGGGTGATGCGCTCGGCTATACATGACACGATGTACTAACTCGATATCTTCAGATTTATTTGTTTGAGATTTAATCTACACACGATATAATAAAAATCGAATTTATTTCCATGTATTATAATGTCAGTGTATTGTAAGTTTTTATGATTAAAATTTAATACTGTAAAATAATTTTAATAAAATCACCTTATCTTCATCGTGTAAATTATATTCAGATACAATTTAAAAATTAAGTAAAATAATAAATATTCTTTATTAGAACTTTAACAGTAGAACCTCTGTAAGCCAAACTTCAAGTTTCTAAATCTTTTTGTGACGCAGAGTCGGCAGCTTATCCATGTTGCAAAATAATACCGTGTGTAGCAGTCTTAAGAAAAATAACACGTACAGCCATGCTTTCACGTCAGCCACTGCCGGCGGACAGCGACGCACTAGCTAATTGGTTGAATGCATCCCCGCCCTGCGTCCCCCAAACCATCAGGAGGGCCAAGCTTACGGCGGTTTAACTATAACATAAATAAATAGTAAATTTTTGTATTTTAGATAGATGACTTACTAACTTTTATTTTCACTTAAGAGACGCTGACAAACTTTACCTGTCTTACTTGCACATTACATGTTTATCGTAATTAGTCAATATTTTTTTTTTTTTGAAACTTATTTTCAGATGTTAGATAAAAAAAGTGCAAATTCCATAATGACACTGTGGCCTTACAATTATTTTTTGTGTAAATTCTCTCCTCTCCTATTCTTCTTACCGTGGTGTTTTTTTTGCCTCCTTAAAACATTTCTTTCCCTCCCTCAAGTGAAGGGTGGTCCGCATACAAAAAATCTCCCTAAATTGGGGATGAATTGATTTTTGTTAGGTTACAGCACACAGTAAATAGTTAGTTTCGTCAGACACAAATAATTAAAATAATATTTTCGTTTTAAAAATGCTTGTGTACTTTTCCACTCAATCTGAAGCGCTTTCCATGGCGGCAATCCAGCAAAACAGTAATTGTAGTACTTTCACTTGGTTTATAGAGCCGAACAAAACAGCTATTGACAAATCCCAACAAAATGCCATAAATAGTAAATAACCTAGCATTCAATTCACATATGGACCGGCTTGCCCGGACACACCGGGCGCACTGAAAATCGCTGTTGAGCTATTCTTTCGGTGTATTTCATTGAGTAAGTGCGTCCAGGAACCCAAAATCAACTCCCACATCCCCGTCCCCTAATTCAGGCGGGACTTCTTTAAAGCCGGCAAAAGACTTGTAACTCTTGAATTGCAGTTGTCTACCGCGGTACTGTCCTGTGCCATTAGACGGTGGTACCAGAATGCCTAGATGTGACACCCAGTCTTCCGCTAATACAAAACCAGCTGCAACTTTCCGCCATCGTTCCACACGGCAAAATTTTCATCCTCATCACCTGGATAGTTAGCGCTCCACTACTGTGCGCTTTTCGGGACACTTTTTGCCTCGCACAACCAATCTCTTATCGTCGGGTTATCGTCTGCGGTATTTCCGGACCGATACGACCTTTAAACCTTCAAGAAAGAGCGTACTCCTTCCTAAAAGGCCAGCAAAGCGTTTGTGTCTCCTGAGTTGCAGACGTTCTTGGGCGGCTGTGGTCACTTTCCATCAGGTGATCCGTCTGCTCGTCTGGCCCTCTAACAAAAAAAAATACTTCTACACTGGTTTTGCCTGAAGACGATGCATTTTTATAAACGTTCTGACGTGACACACACACAGAACATTTAATAATTCGATTTTGTGTAACATAAAGCATTCCATTCGTTGTTATTGAGATGATGTCACACTATGATTTATTCTCAGACAAGGCATTCTACAGTCATTTGACTTCGTTAACTGAAGTGACCGAGACACGTCTTTGCTTGGAATATTGTTAAATATTATATATATCTTTTTGCATAGTGGTCTAACAACTCATGTGTTACGCGTGAAGAAGGTCGTGTTTATTGCGATTCCCTTTATTAACATATGCTTATTATGCCATTATTAGTGTCCTTGAATTTCATATTTAAATCGATGACCATCACCAGTGACCATCCGTAGTATATAGCAAAACCCCTCCCCCGTGTCTTTGATTCCTAAAGGAAGTGTTGGCGTCAGGGCGACGGTCGGTCGTAAAAAAAGCAGCTAAACCCTACCCTTTTGCTATTTAAAACTAATAAAAGGCAGGAGCATCACATGTAAATTTTTTAAATTCTAACCAACGACTACTTTTATTTAAAAATTGTCCAAAAAAACAATTTTATGTACTTTCACTTAGCGTGAGGCTGCCACAAAGATAGTAGCGCACGCGAAGGGCTACTTGGTACGACGTCTGATGCGCACGGAGAGGGTCCAGGGCATCGTGCAAACGATCAAGGATGCCCTGCTCTGCGCTCTGCAGCTGCATCAGGATCGAGAGGGAATTAGAGGAGCTGACGTCGACCTGCATAGGCGGTTGATCCAACAGGTATGGGTGCTGGCACTGGTAGGGTTCTTAATCTGGGTGCACTTAGGTTCTGATGTTTAAAAGCAATGGAACTAAAATATTCAGCATTTAAATACTATGCAAATATAAAAAAAAGTGTGAATAGGTTAAATTGTGCCTTACAATTTCTGAATGAACTTAACTTTTAATATTATATTTTTCAAGATAGACAGTCACAAAAACATTTAAATTTCAAAAATTTATCAAAAAAAGTTAAGACATTTTTTAAATTGGCAATTGTCTCGCAGATCACGGCCGCTTGCTACTCCCTACATGATACGTTTGTGGCGAGCACTGCAGCGGAGCGATGCGCCATGATCGCCGCTGACAGAGGCAGGAGAAATTCTCTCGCTGCCAGGCAACCAATTTCCTTCCGACAAACGTAAGTTTATTATGGGTTCATAAGACTTATGTAGGTGTATGTGTCTGAATTTTAAACGTCCCCTGTATTTAATAGACGGTAGGTGTAGATTTACCTTTTTGTATTTAGGAGGTTCTGAACGTAACTATTGTACGATTTGATCTATTCAGTTTTAAATACTTACCGAGTACCGTAGTACCTAACGAGTTATATGTACCGTATTACTGTATATTCCACTACATTTTTAACCATCAAATGAAATGATATTTATTTCTGTAAGTAAATCTTTTCAGATATTTTTACAAGTCGGACTTTATAGCTAGAAGGAGCCGGCATTTCCTAAGACTCACTCTTGGAAGAAACACCGAAACTAACCACAGATTTGTCTTTTTTTTAAGTCCGTAAACAAAGTTAAATGCATACATGCTAAATTTCAATATAAAAATAATCGTTACTTAGCAATTAAAGACTAAATGGTGGTAATTATATGACTTATCGGTTTGAATAAGAAAACGACTTCCGACGAATAAAAGAAATGTTTAAAATGACAATATAATTTTCTATATTAATAACTATCAAACAGGGACATTATGACCCAAAGTCACAGCGGGTCATTTCCTGCGCGCACCAAGCGACAGCCATCTTTGCTGATGACGCAGTCTAACTATGGTAACACTGCACACAATGTTGGCAGCTTATGTGTTTTATTTGCCGAAAAGCATGTTTATTTTGTGCAATGTTGCCTGTTAAAAATATTATTTCACACGTTACTTTTAAGTGTATATTCTAATGTGGACGTATAAATTTTGTTTTGTTATTACTAATATTTATATTTAGATCTTATATTAATAACACTTTATGTTGCTTATTATTGTGATACGTTATGTGCATATGTTATACGTTATGTGATACGTTATATATCAAAATACTTTTTTTTGGCTGCGTATCTGTATTACCGTTTTGCTTGGAGTATTCAGCTTATAATCATAATAGCCTGCTTGGGATACTCTCTTACTGATCTTAAAAGAGGAGGGGTTACAACTTCTGCCGAAAGGGGATCTTAGCAACTGTTTGTCCCCTGTCTTTCTGATAAGAATCTAAAACTAAATTGAATAAATTCAAGAAATGTCAAAAGGGCAGGGAAATTCGGTCGTTTTTTTGCATAATTAAAAATCAAATACTACTAGTGTTTCCTATGCTACATGTGGCTCTTTCAATGGCTTTTTCTTTAAGACTCCGGGAATACAATTTAACAAAACCACATAACAGAGATTTTCTTCTCTGTGAGCAAAATCTATCGTGATTCATGATATATCACTATGTTTACGTACGGGAATTAACGCTATCACGTGAAAGGTACTACATACCTTTGCATTGTCTGACATTCTGCACAGATTGCACTGATCGTGGACCCACCATATCTATTCATTTTTATCATCATCATCAACAACAGCATCTAGTATATCACTGCTGGACTTAGGCCTCTCCTTAGAAATGAGGTTATGGTCTACTATACCACTTTGGCGTAGTTTGCTCCCTTAGTCGGCTCTTACGACACCCACGGGTAAAATGGGGGTGGTGACACTCCGTATTCCTAGTCCGTCACAACAACGTAACGTATATACATTATTATGTAATAAAAAAATCCATTGTATATAAAGTATGTATGTTGTGCGTTCCCAGAGACGTTTAGCGGCGAGAAGATCTCGCCGGTAAGTCGGCGCTACGTGGCGAGCCCGCGGCGCCGCCCGTGGCGCTGACCCTCGCCGCCGCCCGCGTGCTTCCCGCGGTTCTTTGCCCACTGCTGGGCAACGCGCAACGACATTGGATTGTGAAACTTTTCAAGGCGTATTGGTTAAAAGTTGCTCCGAATTGACGTAAGCCTTTTAAATTATGCTCACGGCTGGGATTAAAGTGACTTGCCTTAATTTTGTCTGTTTCATAGTACATAAATAATATATTATGTGCCTAAAATACTATTGCTATATTTGTATGAAAACTTCATGTTATTTAATTTTGCTACATTTGTCATTTTGCTGCAATTTATAATTAATTATATTATTATTGTCAATAAAATTTTAGAATATGAAAAAATACAATTAATATTCATATATATATAAATGCTGTATTCCCTTTGTTGTTACTCATATGAAATCAAAAATAAACAACTGTGAAAGTATTTATTGCAATAAAAATAGAATTTGTCACATTCTTTGTCTAAATATGAAAAAATGCCAAGCACAGTTCAAAATATTATTTAAAATTGTAATAAATTTATTTATTTTAGAAGTTAGTGATAAATTTATGGTTGTAATACTTTAATATTGTCATTCCATGTGACGCGATGCTTCCGAAGTGCCTAATGCATGCACCCTAAGATTAAGATTATGCTATTTGCTGTATTCAAAAAATTATATCATGTTTTGAGAAAAAATTATTGCCAGTTATAATAATTTTATAAAGGCTTGTAAAATTAATAATAAATATAGTCAGAACTTTGTAAAATGTGTTGCTAAATATTCTTTTACGATTAATAGGCAACACACCAGTTACACGCCCCAGTACGGCATCATCGCATGGTTAGGTGAATGTAAGCTTTTTTTTCTAAAGTAATTAATGTGTTTTCGATTTAAAATAACTACAAAAATAATTATTTTTAAACATCAAAGACTGCTTTAATTTATGTCTTTAAAATAAACTTTAATTGAGATGGAAAGAGCGAAGCGTCCCTATTAGATTTGAACATTTGAAGACGCAACGTATTTTTAGTTTATAGTTTTTGTATTATTTATTAAAGAAAGGAAACATTATTGGGGATAAAAATATTATGAGGGATGTTAAGGTGTCGGCCCGCTCTCTCTGTACAGAGATACAGTTCTGCAATTTACCTGTTTTTTAAGGAATTTCTTGTAAAACTTTGCATAATAATCAGTATACTGGGGTAAAGGTCTAAAACGACCGTAATCAATGTGATGTTGTGTTATCTTTTCGTTCCACAAATAAGATATAATCTATGATGGAAAGGAAACCAACTGCTGGACCAGCTGGTATTATTCCTCATCTATGTTTAATTGCTTCTGTTTAGTTTTGCATTTATAGAAATATAGGACACATCAATGTCATGGCATTTTTTTAATTTAAAAAAAATAAAAATATTTCCTTTCATTTAACGTGTAGTAATATCATTACAGATTAAAAAAAAAGTTATTATATCTTCTGTTTCTAGTCACTGTTCACAACATAAACAATATTTACTTCTAATATACAAATTGACTGCTTGGTCTCAATTACGCTTAACTGTTATATTATAATTTGGTGTTTCCAAAGATTCCTCTAAAACGAATGATAAATATACTGTATTTTTGAGCATACATATGTTTTGTACCTACGCAATAAATTACATAATATATGAAACCGCTTTGTTTTATTTTTTCAAATTGTTTTTTTTTTTACTTTCAAGAGACGTGTGCGTTACCCCAGCAAAATAATGTCGAAAATGGTCATTTAAACGTTATAGATAATTAGTTGCTCCCCTTCTGTAATTGTTAGGCACATTTTTAAATTTGTTTCACTTAAACTTTTTTAGTTATTTCAAAAAAACATTTCCTGCTTTGGTAACGTTTGAAACGTTACCGCAGCCAGACATTTTCTTTTTTAATTGTAATATTGAAATAAATTTTAGCTAAATAATTAGTTATCTGGACTAGGTAAATGTTACAACTTATTTGGTATTTGTATTTTCTTCGGCTGCGAAGTTATTAGAGATCCTGCTGGAGTAACGTTTGTGGGTTTGCTGGATCTCTAAAACGGGTAAGCGGATTGTAACCATCTTTTGTACATAACTTCTTAAGGATAAGTTTTAATTTGATCGACAATAATTCTCATTTAATTGGGAAGTAACTGATAGAAATAACGGCGCATTTTATCTAAAGAGGACATTTCTTATTCTACAAGCTCTCTGGTTTATAGTGTATTATATATGGCTGTACGCCTGTGTCCTACTAATCTATTAGAAGCAATAGAAGAGGCATTGTAACACGTTTCAGGCACAGATAAATAAGAAAAACCTTGTTGATTCCGTCTTTTAAACTATAATTTGAGGGAGCAGCTTATGGGCCTCTTCCCTTTTTGCTAGTTCAAAGAAACGCGTTCATTCATTGTGCACAGTAAAAACACACATATGTGTGCCAACACTTGACATAAGTATGTGAGAGACATGAAGGAAACCCTCCACCTGTATAGAGGCAGTTCTGTTGACAGTTACAGTGATGATCAGGGCGCTGACCGTTTCACCTTCCGTTACGGGATGGCTAATCGTGAACATATCCTACCAACCTTGCCTGTTTCAAATCCCTGAACTAGACATCGTGTGGTGACGTATGCTTATACGGAGTGTCACCACCCCTATTCATCCCGTGGGTGTCGTAAGAGCTTACCATGGTAGCAAACTACGCAGAACAACAGCACTGCAAAGAGAAGGAAAAATTGACACAAACCCTATACCAACCCGTCTGGCCAGCGTGGTATACTCGTAGTAGGCCAAAAGCTCCTTTCTAATTAGTGGACTATTAAAGGCTGTTGATTTGTGATGCGATATGTGTCAATTTATAGCCGCACTTAGCAACATCTGACTTATAAGAGCCATGGTCTTCAGAATCCCTCCCATTTATAGCGTTAACATAAGGAAAATGAATAAAACTGTTATATGCTCAATTTAAATTTTATTTCTTTCCATATACAGACCCATCTGATTTCAATGTTTAAAAATATCCAATAAACTTTGTGTAAAACACTATTGTGGTATCACGAGACAAATAAAAAAGAATAAATGCTAGCGCGTTTGATGAGACGTGAGCAATCATTAATATACTACTATAAATATATGAATCAATAGAAGAAAGCGTGTTCCGAAGCACAAATAATAGATCACACACAAGTGTCAGTCCGCCGCCTGCAGCGTCGCGTCACGGGCGGCCCGGGCGGCCCTAGGCCAGCGTGTACTTCACGTACGGCACCTCCACGTCGTTGCCGTCTTCGTCGTTGCAGCACAGCTCGAACACCAGCGCCTTCACGTGCGGCTCCAGCTTCTTCTTCGACACCTTCATCACCACCTCCGACATGGGCAGGTTCAGCCGCTCCTGGCACTTGGCCTTCCGCATAAAGAACGCGTACAGCATGCACACGCCTTGTGACAGCATCGTGATTTCTAGTTTGTGCTCGTTCTTGAAATAATCTAGGAACTGTTGGAGAGTAATTTCGCCTTTCACTTCGAAGCGGTCCCAGAGAGTCCATTTGTTGTCGTAGTATGTGTTGGTTGGGGCCGCTATAGGTTCGGAGAAGCCGAAGAACGGTAAGGCAAGATTTACGAACCCGTTCTTGAAGACTTCCAAGGTGTTGAAGCCCTGAGCGAGCTTGTAGAGTTCGAGGCACACTAACCCGGCGACCACTGATGTTGTTGTGGCGATGGCGGGTATGATTTTGCCGGCGATCAGTTTAGAACGATGCCTGTCTGCTGGAGCAATTTTGTAATTTGCGGCACGGAGATTGGAAGCTGCTACGATAAAGTCCATGTGGAAATTGGTGTCGTCGTCCTTCTCAAAATCAAGAGGCGTTATCGTAAGGTTGCCAAGTTTGGTAGGCGGTGGTAGTTCTGCTATCATGTTCTTGACTTTATCGTGGTCCATATCATCACTATTCTGTTGCAACTGTGCATCTGTTACGGCGATCTTTACGCCAGATTTTGGGCTGAATTCTGGTACCTGATAAATAAAAAACAGTAATAAGGACACCGAAAGAAACATCACATGTAGTCCAGATGGATAATTTAATGTCAAGATGTAGTACAAGATGATGTAGAGAGCCATGTGCGAGTTTATTTCACATGGGCTCGATCGTCACGGTGCGATCGATGGCTTCGGCGCTGCGATTGGCCGGCACTCAATTCTTTTCCAATCGTTACGCCGAACGCGCTCGCTGTCGAGAGCGACTTAGGCCTGTGATTATTTGGACAAGAAAGAATGAGTAACAAATAATGTTACTGTGTGGACCCACGGTTTATCACCTCACCAATATCGAAGGTAAAGTTGTATGTTAAATTAATAGCAACTAAAACCAACCGCACCAGTGAGTCTCTTCCAGGAAGACCGGGGAGACAGTAACAAAGACGCCTCCAAGAATGATACAACTGACAAATATAGCAACTAGACTAATTATAATCCATTCGCGTCAAGAAAATAGTGGCGTATCGTTTAAGCCCTGCCCCCTGACCAATGAGATTCCAAGAAATTATCGTTTCGTAAGAAAATTGGAATCTAATAGGCTAGTTGACTCAATTTGAAAACTTAGTTAATTAAATACTTTAATATCTATTTTATCCCAAAAACCCTATATTTTAAAGAAAAAGCAATATTTACATTACGCATTTTGTATTTAAAAAAAAAACAATTTAAATTTCCATTGAAAACGCTGAGTTGTGTCATGGCGTCTTGAATGACGTCACAGCCTGCGAAACAAAACTGTTTACAACTGCAACTGTATTACGGTGAGAAAATGTGCTAAAAGCTAAAACCAAAAAAAAGGAGTAACCTGCTCTGTTTATGAAAACTTCAACAACAACAATGATGTTTTGCGTGGCGTGACATAACACTTTCTGATTGGTGTTCGCTGTCACGTGACTTAATGCCTGTTTTGTTCAAATTTATTTTTTAAAAATATTAATAATCTTTTACTTTTATGAGAAATAGACTGGTTCTTTCTTATCTATGTTTCTTCATTTATAATTTGAAACTATAAACCAAGCAATTTGTTATTAGTGGACACAAGCCACGGTCAGGTACGGGGCTTTGCGTCACTATTTTCTTAACGCAAATGGGCTAGATAATTATTAAAAAGGATAACATATTGAACATACCGTAACACTAGCGGCAACACTCGCAATCTTCTCCCTATCTAGGCAAGGTGGCAGGCCGTACACAGTCGCTCTCAGGTTAGCGGCAGCCATTACATAGTCCACGTGCAAGTCATCAGTCGGGTCGAATTCCAGTGGAGATGGACAACGCTTCGGCCCCGACCAGAATGGAGCACCTGTAACATGCAGATAATTAATTAATGTGTTTTTTAACGTCAATTTATTTATAGACACATAAAATTACGTTATAACTTTTTAGTCAAATCAAAACGGTGCTGTCACGGTGTTGATACCACGCGTTTGAATGCTTCAGACATATAAAGTGAGTATGGGTGTTTTTACCGGGTACACTACACAAATACGATATTGAAACTTCTCTGTCAGTCACCAATACGAATTATCAAATACCGATTTTCATAATTCCGAATGATTCTAAATTCCTAATATAACAACTCCGATTGATAATTCATCCTATTTTTAGAAATCAATAATTTCAATATTCCTAACGTTTATGATTACTATGGTTATAATACCGAGTTTCAATAGATCGAATAACAAAGTCCTTTTAATAATAATTCGATTCTATTTTATTTCAAATACAAATATTTTCTTTCGCAGGTCACACTTCTAACCTTAACCTAATATATGGAAATTGTCTGTGCGTCCCAGAGTCCATAAACACTCACAGTCTGTGAACAAAACTTTTTCGTTGTTCCCTTAAGCAGTTACTGTTGGAGCATACTCGAATTATATCCACACTTATCAAGTAGATGTGTTGTCAAAATATTAATAATAATACACATCTCACACACAAGTCTGGTGCCAAACTAGGCAGACTGCTGATAACCATTCTTAAATATTTTTAAATATAGAGAAGATAAATGCTTTAGATAAATTACACCCAAACACAGATCAAATGATCGTGCTCATCAGACAATTATTTGTCCTGGATGGGAATCGAACCAACAACCTCTCTCTAGCTTAGCACACAGTTACCCTAACCACTCAATTATAAAAGATAATCATCCTGTGGACTAGAAGTTGCCATATTACGTAAATATACAACTACACACTCTAAAGAAAAAAATATTTTAAACATGCTATTTTCAGGCCACACTCTAAACTAAGGTAGCTAATAAGTATCTTACCACTGGTGGTCTGTTGGTCAGGGGGGAAGTTGTATAGCAGTTGTTTGATTTGATTGGAGTACTGCGCCTCCCAGTGCAGGCGTGCCCAAGTCACACAGTCCTCGATGTTTAGCGGTCGTTCGTTTATTGCGTTCTGTAATAAGATGGGATAACACGCATTTAGAATTTTTAACGGCGTAGGTAGCAAACGTATTGACGGGGCACTTGATGGTAAGTGACTACCCCCGCACATGGACACCTGAACTCAATAAGAGTCACAAGTGGGTAGCCGCCCTTTCTCCCCCCTCCAGAATCAGGTAGAGGTAGAGTTATAATATGATATTACCTACTAAACTTACCCTGACACTTTCAATGGCGTCGAGTGGTTGGCTTCCAGGCAGTTTTAAGGTCCTATCTAAGAACTGAGGGTCCCTCAGATACTGAGAAGCGTGTTCTGCGGCTTGTCGGAACAAACCCTCGAACTCATCCCTGGCCCATTGTAGTGTATGCTCAATAGCATTGGGGAAGTTCTTCAGGGTGCAGATAGGAATGCTCTTCTCTGGAGGATCTTGAGAGGAGCTATAGGATTCTGTGAGGAAGGGCACCACAACCTGAAATAAATGAACAACCTTTATAAAATCAATATACATACTTCATGCCCTTTACATGACAAATAATAATTCAAGATTTTTAGGCACAACCGGTACATTCATCATCATCATTAACAGCCTTTAATAGTCCACTGCTGGACATAAGCCTCTCCTTACATACATTATTTTTATTTTATTGGTAATTTTGTGGTCCTGTATAATTTAGAAGCCTGGAGAGTCCAATTTCATGTACAAAGCACTTACTGGTTTATCTAGGCACTTATATTGGATGCACATTTTTTAATATTGTAGTGGCAAAGAAGCTGACCGAAATTGTTCGCATTTAACAAAATATTTAACAAACATCACAATTTGAGTTTACTCTGGCAAAATCTTACAAACAAGAGTTAAACAGAGTTTGAAACTAATCATACTTTCAAGAACCACTGACCTGTGTATTTCCCTTGGTCCCAAGAGTTCCACTTTCCAGCAGCGGCTTCCTGTAATACACACATCTCCTGTCCATGTAGATACGTGCGTCTACGTTGTCCAGAGCGTTGGCAACGCCGTCCAGAGCCTCGAAGAATGCATCATCATACACTGACTCTGTCTCTGGACATACCCTGTTCTCCTGCGCCAACACATTCACTGCAGGATTCATACGCTTAATGACCTGAAAAATATTACCATTACATATTAAAATACTTATCACTTTACTGAACTTAATCGCTTATAAATCCTTTGTTCACATTGTGTTATGTGAGATATTCTATTGACAGGGATTTTTTTATAGATAACTCATTGACTATGGTAGATAAGCTTAAGATTGAAGGTAGTTCTTAAAAACTCAGTGTCCTGTGTTTCAATTATGTTGTTCATCATCAACAGCCTTTAACAGTCCACTGCTGGACATAGGCCTCTCGTTAGAAAGGAGGTTTTGGCCTACTATACCACGCTGGCCAGATGGGTTGGCATAGGGTTGGGGTGCTGGGCTAGAAAACCTCCTCGTGGTGCACCCTGGAAACGCTGGCGATGGTACTGTTTGCTCCTTGTCCTCTTGAAAGAGAGGATTATCGCCAGCGGCCAATATTCTAGCAGAAGAGGTAGCCGTTCATCGGCTCTAGGGCAAGGCCTGGTCCAGCAGGGTGGGCGTGTCTGCCGGTTGCCCTGCTGGCTCTTCGCTCTTCGGAGCATGGAGGAGGAAACCTCGGTAAAAAACCTGATGGCGGGGCCCTGTAGGGGCCACAGTTTCTCCGCTGACAGCGGTGGAGAAAGGAGGACGGGCTCGGCGTGTACTCACACTACCACCGAGCAGGCAGGGGGACGTAGTCTCCCTGTCAACCGTCGGCATATCGTAATCCCGAGAAGAGCGCTGTGGTTAAGTCTCGCGGCTCTGATCGGGGGCGAGGGTCTTGGCTTAACCGCCCGGACCGCGAGGAAGATAACCTCTCTAAAAAATTCCCCGAATCCCGTGTTCTGGTGCGTGGCCAGGGGATGCATGGCTGATGGGAAGTTCAGTCGCGAGCGCACTCCAAGCCGAGGTACCTGCGGACCCCTCGGTTGGGTTAAAAACTTACGCTTGCCCGGGTAATGGGGGATCTCTGCCCGGGTGGACCTTTAGTTCTCCCCCACTCGTGGGATTATTATGGAAAAACTTAATTTAACCAAAAACAAAACGATCGGAAAAAAAACACAACAGACAAAGGCAAGCCTAACGGACAAGGAGACGAAGAGGAGGAATAGTGGAGTGGATGGGTCATCCACGGAGGGTGAGATAGCGTCGGGAACGCCTATCTCGATGGGGCTCCCAGAAGTCAGTCTGACGCTGGTCTCTGGGAGCCGAAGAGCATCGGATCGTATTCGTTCCGGATCCGCCGTCTCCTCGGATGGCGCGGAGGCCATGGAGGCGGAGCGAAGCGACAGCCGAAAACGCGGACGCTCAGGGGACGTGGAAACCGACACGTCCGGCGAAATGATGCCACCAAAGGTGGCAAGCAGTCGCCGAGGGAGGGCGCGTAAACCGGCCTCGGTCTCGACCCCGTCAGGCTCCGCGTTCTCAAACGCGGAGTCCTACAGGAGCGTGCGAGTGGACGGCGAGGCCGTAGCGGAGGAGGAGATCGCGGATCTCCTGCTCAAGGTTCGGGAGCCGGTGGGGGGAAATGCCCCCCAGGCTCCCGTGTCCGTGCAGGAGAGGGCGAAAGCGGCGGTGGCCGTCATCGACAAGGTGGCCACCAAATCCGTGAACCTTAAGGGCTCGTTTGTAAGGGCCCTTAAGGACTCCTCCTCCGCTTTGTCGGAGGTCGTGGAGGGCCTAGCGGGCGACGTCTCTCGCCTGCAGGTGGCCAACGAGAGGCTGACGGAGCGGGTGAACGAGCTGAGTGCTCAGTTCGCCCGCTTCCAGGCGAACCTCCCCGAGCGGGAAGCCCCGTCCGCGTCCCAGCCTGCCCCTATTACCAACTCAGGGGCATTTGACTCCCAACTGCGAGAAATCCTCATCGCAGTTGGGAATATGCTGGACGGACGCCTGGCTGGCCTGGAGGCGAGACTGCCCCCTGCGCCGATTATGCGCCCCCCGCTCGCGGCGGCGGCGTCTGCCCCGACTCCATCGGCTCCCCAAAAGCCGAGGAGGGGGGCCAAGGCACCGGCCCAGGCGCCGGCCAAGGCACCGGCTAAGGCGCCGGCCAAGGCACATCCCCAGGCGCCGGCCAAGACGGGGCCTAAAACGGCGCCGAGGAGCGGAGTGGCATTCCCTCCGCTCCCCACTCCGACACCCCTGCCGGGCCCCTCCGCACCTGCCCCCCTCCAACGAGGGTTGGCAGGAGGCGAGGGGCTCCAAGAAGTCCCGAAGGCGGGCCAGAAAGGCTGCCCAAAAAGCAGCCCAAGCCCAGCCTTCGCCACCGGTGGCAACGGCCTCTGCAAAGAGGCCGCGGAAGCTGCAGCCGCCCAAAACCGCGGCTGTAGTTGTGACCGTGTCCCCGGAGGCGGCTGACGGCGGGCTGTCCTATGCGGCCGTCTTCAAAAAGGCCCGGGACAGCCTCGCCAACGAGTTTGGGACGGTGGGGGGTCAGGATGCGCCTCGCCCAGACGGGAGCTCGAGTTCTCGAGTTCCCTGGGGCTGAAGGCGCAAAGACGGCGGACTCCTTCGCAGAGAAGCTGCGGGGAATATTTGCAGCCACAGATGGTGTCAGGGTCGCCAGGCCTACCAAGTGCGCGGAACTGCGCATCTCGGGCCTGGACGACTCAGTGACGGCCGAAGATGTCCGCGCTGTAATCCGGGAGAAGACGGGGTGCAGCGCGGACAACGTCAGGGTCGGCACCATCCGCCCCGGTCCAGGAGGGCTTGGCGCCGTGTGGGTCAGCTGTCCCGTAGCGTCGGCCAAAGTATTGGCCGACGCCGGCAGGCTGCTCGTCGGTTTCGTGAGCGCCAGGATCACAGTCCTGGCGGCGAGACCGATGAGGTGCTACAAATGCCTAGCATCGGGACACACGCGCGTCAAGTGCGACAGCTGTTTTGACTGCGGCGGACTGTGTTTCCGCTGCGGTCAACCGGGGCATAAGGCGGCAGAATGCTCTGCCGCCCCTCACTGCCCAGTGTGTGCGGCGGGCAATAAGCCCGCCAATCACCAGATGGGGCAGAAAGGCTGCAAGCCTCCCCGCAGTTCTCGGCAGACGTCGGGGGTTAGCCAGTCGACCCAGGCTGCCTCCGATGTAGTTCGTGCGTCGACGTCGTCGCCCATGGAGGAGGTTGTAGAGACGATCCAGTAATGGATCAAGTCTCCAACCTCCTGGTCCAGACGAACCTGAACCACTGTGCCGCGGCGCAGGATCTCTTCCTGCAAACCATGGCACAGTGGTCGATAGGTGTTGCCGTAGTCGCGGAGCCCTATTCTGTCCCTCCCCGTCCAAACTGGATGGGTGACTGGGACGGCTCCGTGGCAGTCGTCGGTTCCACGACGGCTCATTCCCCGCCCTTGTCGCTAAGAGACAAGGGCACTGGATATGTTGCCGTCGAGTGGGGGGGGATCACCATATATGGTGTCTATTTCTCCCCCAACCGGAGTTTGAACGACTTCGAGGTTTTCCTAACCAGCTTGGAGACCTCGATACGGCGACTAGCGTCTGGGCACGTCCTTGTGCTGGGGGACTTCAACGCGAAGTCCATTGCGTGGGGTTCCCCCAGGACGGACGCCAGGGGCGAGGCCGTAGAGGAGTGGGCGGCCTCGGTGGGCCTCTGTCTTCTAAACAGAGGCTCCACCAACACGTGCGTGCGACAGCAGGGGGGGTCGATAGTGGACCTTTCGTTCGCTACCCCTGCCCTCGCCGCACGAGTAAGGAACTGGTGTGTCCTGGAAGAGGTTGAGACGCTCTCGGATCACCTGTATATCCGATTTGAGCTCTCCCGGACCCAGGACTCCAGTAGGGGTCACGTGGCGCGGCGTTTATCCCGCTTTCCGCGGTGGGCTGTTGCCAGGCTGAACCGGGACCTACTAGAGGAGGCAGCCATAATTCACTCGTGGCTGTCTCCTCAGGCTCCGACCGAGGAGGTCGACGTGGGGGCTGGCCGCTTTCGTGATGCGATTACGCATGTATGCGATGCGGCCATGCCCCGCGTTCGAGGTCGTCGGCCTCCAAGGAAGGAGGTCTACTGGTGGTCCCAGGAGCTGGCGGACCTCCGTGCGGCCTGTACACGTGCCCGGAGGTCCTACACGCGCAGTCGGCGGCGTCACCGTGGAGACGGTGAGGAGGACCGGCTTCATGAGGAGTACCGACGGGCGCGGAAAACTCTGAAGCTGGCCATTAGCCGCGCCAAAGAAGAAAAAAGACAGGAGATGCTGGAGGGTCTTAATCGTGACCCCTGGGGTCGCCCTTACCGCGCGGTGCGACAAAAGCTCCGCGCGTCGGGCCCCCCCCTTACGGAGACTCTCCAGCCCAGCTTCCTGCGAGAAGTGGTTGAGGGCCTTTTCCCGCAACGAGCGGAACACACTCCCCCGGCGATGGCCTCCTTGGCCGGAGACGACGGGGAGCACGGGGAGGAAAATGTTCCGCCCGTCCGGGATTCGGAGGTAGGGGCGGCTGTTCTACGGATCCGTTCCAAGAACACCGCCCCTGGGCCAGACGGGGTACCGGCCCGAGTGCTGGCCCTGGCCCTCAACCACTTGGCAGACCGCCTCGGGGAGGTGTTCGACGCTAGCTTGGCGTCGGGACGCTTCCCTGAGTGCTGGAAGAGCGGGAAGCTGGTCCTATTGAGGAAGCCGGGACGGCCTGCCGATTCGGTCGCGGCCTATAGGCCCATCGTGCTGCTGGACGAGGCGGGCAAATTGTTTGAGAGGGTTCTTTCTGCCCGCATCGTCCGGCACCTCTGCGAGGTGGGCCCCGATCTGTCGGACGCCCAATTTGGTTTTCGGGCGGGGCGTTCGACAGTCGACGCCGTGTTGCGCCTGAGGGCCGTGACTGAAGAGGCCGTGAGCTGTGGCGGCGTGCTGTTGGCGGTGTCATTGGACATCGCCAACGCATTCAATAGTCTGCCATTCAGCTGCATCAGGGAAGCACTCCACTATCATGGGGTGCCAAAGTACCTGAGGCGGCTGGTGGCAGACTATTTAGAGGAGCGTACCGTCGTGTACGAGGACCGAGAAGGTAATTTGAGGAGTCGGCCCATGTCGTGCGGTGTTCCACAGGGGTCTGTTCTTGGACCCCTCTTGTGGAACATAGGGTACGACTGGGCCCTTCGCGCCGATTTCCCCCCCGGGCTGGGTGTAATCTGTTACGCAGACGATACCCTCGTGACAGCCCGGGGGGCAAACTTCCAAGAGGCGGCGCGCCTGGCCACAGGGGGAGTCTCCCTGGTGGTCGGGCGCATTGAGGCGCTGGGCTTACGGGTGGCCCTAGATAAGACGGAGGCCCTGTTATTTCATGGGCCCCGTCGTGGTCCACCCCCTGGCGCCTCAATCGTGGTCAACTCGGTCCTCGTACCGGTTCGGGCCCAGATGAAATATCTGGGCCTGATCCTCGACGGGAGGTGGCTCTTCGACGAGCACTTCCGACAGCTTGCTCCAAAGCTGGTCGGCGCTGCGTCTGCCCTAGGGCGACTTTTGCCCAATATGGGTGGACCCAGCGTCGCGACAAGACGGCTGTACACGGGGGTTGTCCGGTCAATGGCACTGTACGGTGCACCGGTGTGGGCGGCGGCTCTGACCGCCCAGAATAGGGTACGCCTCTGGCGCCCTCAGAGGGTAATGGCGGTCAGAGCCATACGCGGTTACCGCACCGTTTCGACGGAGGTGGCGTGCGCGTTGGCCGGAACTCCCCCGTTGGATTTGGAGGCGGAAGTGCTCGCCGAAGTTTATCGGCGAGTGGCTGACTACCGGGCGGAGAGCGGATTTCGCCCTCCGCCCGAGGATGTGCGCGAGTGGCGCGAAGCCGCTCGCCGAGCCACGATGGCTCGTTGGTCGTTCCGGCTGGAGACTCCACGCGCTGGCTTCGCCGCCGTGGAGGCTCTCCAGCCAGTCATCGCCGAGTGGGCAGGGCGGCAGCACGGGACCCTTTCCTTCCGACTGACGCAGGTGCTTTCCGGGCACGGTTGCTTCGGAAAGTACCTGCACACGGTCGCTAGGAGGGAACTGAGTCCCGCCTGCCACCACTGCGACTGCAGTGAGGACTCGGCCCAGCACACGCTGGCGGTCTGCCCCGCATGGGCGGCGCAGCGCCGGGCCCTCACTGCAGTCATCGGAGTGGATCTCTCGCTACCGGCCGTAGTACGCTCCATGGCCGGTAGCGACAGTTGTTTTACCGCGGTCGCAACCTTCTGCGAGGTAGTAATCTCGCGGAAGGAGGCGGCGGAGAGGGCCCGGGAGGACGACCTCCACTCGGACCCGATCCGCCGCCGGCGAACCGGGCGGCGGAGGCCCGCCTACCACAGCCTCATGCCGCCCTGAGTGTGGCCGCGGGTGGACGGGGTGGGTTTCCCCTCCACCCGCATTAATTTGGCCAGCCGCGAGGGGGCGGCGTCCGCGTGTGCCGGACGTCGCCTAAAGAGAGGAAAACAACAATATTGAGACGGAGCCCGCACCAGGAGCGGGCTGGCGCTAGGAGGGGTCCGGATGTCTTAACAACAGCTGTTCCCGGATCCCTCCTGTTACAGGCGCAGAGTGGCACACCGTGTGGTTTTAGTCGGTCCGAGTCCGACACACCACCCCGCCGCAAACCCCGGAGGGGTGACGGTCCGAGGGGATTTCCACACGTTAAAAAAAAAAAAAAAAGGGTTTGTGTCAAGTTTTCCTTCTCTTTGCAGTGCTGTAGTCCTGCGTAGTTTGCGACACTCAAGGGATGAATAGCGGTGGTGACACTCCGTATTCTTAATCCGTCACCACACGGACAATTATGTTGTTAATGAGACATAAATTAGGATATTAAGGTTCAACAAGTTAAAGAATTAACAACTTTCAATAATTAAAAAAAAAAAAACTTAAAATGATTATAAAGAGATCAATGTCTGGCCACTTTGTCGGGGCCTGATCGAAGTTGGAGTAATCGCCATTAAATACTTATATGTTTGTTAGAAAATATTTCCACAACTGATATTTGTGATGAACAATTTTATAACAAAAAAAAAACCTATACGATTAATGATCATCATCACATGATTGAATTTATTTTACGAATATGTTTATAACTAGCTGGTACCCGCGACTTCGTTCACGTGGAATTTGAAAAGCGCTGCCTTAGTGGGTTCGATGCCCGGACCGGTCAAAATTACGAGTATAAAGGGTTTTTCTGAGAGGATATATAAATATATAATAGGATAAATAATATAATAGCCTAAGTAAATAAGGATATCATAGCCTAAGTTATTCCTTATGTAGACAGCTATAGTAGTGGTAAAATATGATCGAAATCGGTAAAGTCGTTTAGAAGATTACCCGGAACAAACAGACAGACAGACAAAACAAGTTTTTAGGCATAGGTATCGTGCAAATAACCGTGTGAGCATGAAAATAAAACCTATAATTTTGACATTACAAACAGACACTTCTGTATTATCTATTGGTTACATCAGCAAATAAACCGCTTTTCGGAATTGTATTGCCAATATGAATTTCTGTGTATCGAAACCCCAAGCAACTTTTGTGCGTGTAAATAATTATGATACCATCAAACTTATCATAATTTTACACTAAATCAAAACATCATTTATTTATTAATAAATAAGTATCTTATATCGTATCAAATATGGTTAGGTAGAGAGGGGTAACACAGCAGGCAGTGGAGGTGAGCGCTGACGCATCGCAAAGAGTACTCCCTAAACGTATACCTGGGTCGCAAGTTCCAGGCGCTATCGAAGTCGCATGTGTTGCCCCTATTTATCACGCGATGGACCCGGCACACGTACGGTGAATCCATGAAACGCTAAGAAATAGGTCTTACTACTATTACTCACCCTAGCAGCAGTGCTGGACTTTGGTTTCTGTACGTCGTAAGGTCTGAAAAGGAACTGCCGATTCAGGTTAGACTTCTCGATGAGATCCATATCGGTGACTGTGATCTGGCCACCGTCAGCACCTACTCCTATCATGGCGAAGTTCTTGAGAAGCTCACACCCGATAGCACCAGCACCTGGAAATTGAAAAATTATTAATAATTAAGAATAAATTTAGCATAATAGTTGGATTCCTAGAAAAAAGTTTTTGTAGTTTAAACTAGCAGGTGAGTGGAGGAATTTAAAAAGCGATGCATTAGTGGTAAAGAAAGGTACGCGACTGTAGTCCATGAGGGAGAGGGTTCGATTCCCGGATCCGAAGCTTTTTTTGAGAGGAAAAATAGCCTAAGTTACCTGGTAGTAAATCATTATCAAAATCGGCCCAGGCCGTTTCGAATATTACCCGAAACAAACAGACAGACAAAAACTGTTTTTTAGGCATAGGTATCGTGGAAATAATCGTGTGAGCAAGAAAAAACCTATTATTTTGACATTACAAACAGACACTCAATTTTATTTATTTGTCTAGATGAAGAAACTTAATGAAATCAAAACTTGTGATGTTATTCATACCTCACTATGATCAAATCACATCAGTAGCCTTTAACAGTCCACTGCTGGACATAGGCCTCTCCTTAGAAAGGAGGTTTTGGCCTACTATACCACGCTGGCCAGACGGGTTGGTATAGGATTTGTGTCAAGTTTTCCTTCTCTATGATCAAATGATTTACATTAAATATTTCGTGATACGTTTAATTCCATAAGGACTTAATTGAGTACGTGTTGACTGGCCCGTTGGTCTAGTAGTTAGTGACGACGACTGCTAAGGCAGAGGATCGTGGTTTCGATTCCCACCCAGGAAAACTAATCGTGGATGAGACGCTTTGCGGTAGCTTATGTCCTTTCTCAATAATAAAACTATTTTCATACCAAATTTCATCTAAATCGCTTCAGCGGTTTTTGATTTCCCATACAAACTTCCATTTCCCTTTGCACCCCCTTATAGGATCACTTCTGGGATAAAAACCATCCTACGTCCTTTCCCGGGACTTAAACTATCTTTATACCAAATTACAGCAGTTTAAGCGTGAAGAGGTAACAGACAGACAGACAGATAACAGAGAGACAGACAGACTATCGTATTTATAATATTATTATGGAAGTATCATTTATTATAATCATAACTCTGTATTAATCTGAATTCGCTTCTTCACGCAGCCATAATTCTCATAATAATGTATCAAGTCAAAGTATATCTATAGTGATATTGTTATTTCCACAATAGCATAGTTATCAGCGCATGCGTAGGATAGCCTCATTATGATGAATACAAAGACACTTAGTAGTCTAGGCGTACATATCTATACTAATATTATAAAGCTGAAGAGTTTGTTTGTTTGAACGCGCTAATCTCAGGAACTACTGGTCCGATTTGAAAAATTCTTTTAGTGTTAGATAGCCCATTTATCGAGGAAGGCTATAGGCTATATATCATCACGCTAAGACAAATAGGAGCGGAGCACCAATGAAGAATGTTTCAAAAACAGAGAAAATTTGTTACTATTGAGAGACGCAGACGAAGTTGCGCGGGTCAGCTAGTTACTTATATACATACACTTCTATTCTATTTGCATTTATATAATGTACTAGTTGTACCATGCCACGGTTCGCTGCGACACATTGTAGTAATGAGGAACAAATATGGCGCGATAAAAACCATCTTTGAAGCATTTCTGTCTTATTTTGGAGATAAGTTTTTTTATAAGATACAATGTCGATATTGGTAATCCTTAGTTGTGTTTTATTAACTATTCTATATGTGAATTGTCAATACTGTTTTCAAAATGTCAGTAAGTTCCTTTAAGTCCCAATCCCATAAAGGATAACTGGTGGTGGCGTACTGGGTATTCTTATCGATCATTTTTTGGAGTCGTCGGTTAGATCTATTGGTTGTATACACCTGGCATATCCTTCACTGAATGTTCCAAAGGGCGACTGGTAGAAGTCCGCCGTCATTAAGTCAGCAGTCTGGTTTTCATAGCACAAGTTTCGTATAGTTTCAGATAGATTCCGTGTTAGATATGTGAAGGTATAATTATTATTAAAAATTGTATCCCGAGAGGAGAGTCAGCCTGTATTTATAAGTGAAACCCAATGAACACCTGGTACTCAAGTGCTTTGCAAACCTTTAACCTCCGACGCGTCGCCGTCACAACAGTTGTGACACCAAATTTTAACGCTGTAGCGTCTCTGTCACAACATTTAGAAGAATATATATCAGGGATTCCAAATATGTTTATTTCATTGAATATAATTATAAAATAACGTAGATATTGAGGTAATAATGACTTCGCTCAGCTGTGACTGGGTCACTAGTTCAGGGGCGCGACAGTAACGGGTCATAGGTCATCCGCGCGCCGTGACGTCCTAAGAGAATCAGATGAGTGTCGGGCCCCGGTAACGTCTTCCGTAACTCCGGTCAACCGACCTATTTGTCACCCATCCCACAAACACACACATGTATCTCTTGGTCTAATAAAATCAACCGATATACCAACAGGGGTCCGGCACTGTGACTCCTTATCACAGGTTGCGCAGTAGCCTATTTAGGAGTGCAGTACTCAACCCAAGTTTTAGTTAACAATGTAAAAATTGTCATCCATTGTACTGAATACATGTATTTGTGCCGAAAGCATGGCTCTCGTCGATTAAAGGTTAGGTAAGCTTAAATGACGGAATAAGAAAACAGTGTCACCACCCCTATTCATCCCGTGGGTGTCGTAAGAGCCGACTAAGGCAGAAAACTACGGAAAACAACAGAACTGCAGAGAGAAGGAAAACTTGCCACAAGCCTTATACCAACCCGTCTAGCCAGCGTGGTATAGTAGGCCAAAACCTCCTTTCTAAGGAGAGCCTTATGTCCAGCAGTGGACTATTAAAGGCTGTTGATTGTTGGACATAAAAAAATATTAGTACAGTTTCTAAAGCAGGAAAAATAATAATCCTTGAATACTAAATAATAAGATACTATAGAAGTATCATTACATGTACAGTATATTATGACTGCTGTGCAAGTTAATAAGTGGTTTTCCGGTATTAAGTTACAAAGGCGTAGTTATGTTGGTAATTACAGATGTTTCGACATATACGTTGATATTTATACATAAGGCCGTGAAGTATCAGTATTATTTTAAACACTTTTATAAGATATACATATAAATATTTTTTATGGTTTGGCTGGGGGGGGGACGACGACGACGAGCATATAGTTCACCTCATGGTAAGTGACTACTAGTCGGGCATTTCTGAAATACACACGCGAATGAAACCGTGAAATCCATACTAATAAAGTGTGTCTGTCAGTCTAGCTGTGACCTCTTCACGCTTAAAACGCTGACCCAATTTAGATGAAATTTGGTATAGAGATAGGTTGAGTCTCGGGAAAGAACATAGAATAGTTTTTATCCTAGAAATCATCCTTTAAGGCGGTCAAAAGAGGGTTGGAAGTTTGTATAGGGAATAAATAACCGCTGAACCTATTTACATGAAACTTTGTATGGATACAGTAATTTGATTCTTGAGGAAGGACATAGGCTATTTTTTACCGCTATAACCATCATACAGGCAGGCGGAGACGCGGGTAAAAGCTAGTTATAGATAAATTACACATAAAAACAGAACAATCACACTATTATTATTATAATAGCTTCACACATCTCACACACGGCCGTCGGATTCCAAACTAGGCAGATCCTGTACTATGGTAACCAGACTGCTGATAAACATACTTATATATTTCTAAATACATACATATTATAAATAAATTACACCCAGACACAGAACAAACCATCGTGCTCATCACACAATTAATTATTTGACAGAATTAAACTCTGACTTAGCTACAGGGCTATTAACTATTAGAATAACGTAGTTGGTTATTTATTTAATCAAGATCACATATAAGTGATATTTTCTACCTTTTTGTTTGTAGAATTATCCAACCAGTATCATTTGCGCCTCTATAGTGTTTAACACAATAAAGTAGATAAGAAGTGACAGATAAACATACTGTTTTCAAATAAAAATTTCTATAACGCAAGGAGGGCATTAACCTTATATCTTATTAGCAGACACTGACCTACAATATATCCAGGGTTTTTATAGCATGGCTGTAAGACCGCTACAGGCAATTGACAATAATGTTATTTTTTTACCACCTACGGAAAATGGAAACGTGTTATAACTGTTCTCTTTAGGAGACCACTTTGACTTAGTTGGTCAGTACCAAAATAAACTAAAATGGTCTGCTCATATGGATACGGTATCTGGATTATAGAATATAAAATGAAATCTATACACATACATACACACATTCATGTCTTTTACACATTCATATATTTCTAAATACATACATATTACACATAAATTATACCCAGAAACAAATAATCTTGTTCATCACACAATCTCCTGGATAAGAATCGAAATCTGGCCTGCCAGGCACAACTGGCCACATGGGTCACAAAATATATCAACAATACAGAGATATGTCAATATAATTTAAAATTAAACATAAAACACTTACCAACAATGAAATACTTCAATTCACCAAGCCTCTTCTGGAACTGCTTGCCGAATACAGCCACTTGTCCATCGTATCTTGAACCAGTAGGCTTACAGTTCTCTTCAGTTAGAGCTGAGCGATCCTTGGGCAAACACTCGATAGCATCGAGGTATAACCACTGCACAATAGGGTGGAACTTTCCAGAACAAGCCTTCATGACTTCTTGCGCCACTACACCTCCGATAGCCGCGTTCATTGGATTCAAATCACCAGATGAGACCTGTTAGAAAAAAATGTTTTTACCTTTTTTTTTTATTATGATGCGTAAATCAAGTGAACACTCGTGACCAGGCTATGTACAATTTGATCGAATGGTGTGGTAATAATTAATTAAATTAAAATAAAAATACATTTAAAGAAAACGAATGGGATATGAGCAGGAAAGGTCTAGATTCAACATATCTCATGGGGCCCCATTTCTCTTCTTGTGTAGTCTTCGGGTTCTTTTTGTGTAGTCAGGACTCACTACAGGTTCCAGTTTAGATTACCTACTTGAAATCGTACGAACTAGACCCAGTCCAGAGGGGGTGGTATCAGGCATGGGCCATAACCTCAAGATCTCCTTGGACCCGCACTTAGACAACTTAGGGAGTAGAAAAAAACTAAAACATGAGTGAAACTGTGGGTAACTTGTTTTGTATCACAACCATTTAACAAGATTGCAGAACAAATTTTAAACAGTTCACAAGACCTATTTTTTACCAAATAGAACAGGATGTGGAATCAAAAAACGAAGTCTATGCTGTAATCGCGAATCTAGGTATAGCGATTAAATTTATAAAAAGCCTTTTATCATTTATCAAAGGTTCGAATCAAACAGTATCGTCAACAAGTAATAATGGCGAATTATCGATAAGTGAAGGTAAAACGAGTGACGTGGGTTGAGGCTCGTCACCTCGTCACTGCTGTTACTTAAATATGCTAGTAATTTGCGTTAGTGTTTTTATTTCAAAACGATTTGTTACATGGTCTTCGTCTTTTGTTTGCGCTCATAAACAATATAATCAGAAAAAAAAACATGATGATAAATAACGTCTTTGAAGTTTCTTTATTGTTCTTCTCTAAAGAATCTATTTATTGGAACAAGCAACTACCTTCAGGATAGATATAAATTTAAATTGAGTTGTCGCGGGATGTATGACAGATGTGAAAAATCTAAGTTTTTTGTAGAAATAATGAGTATAAAAGGATAGCCTATGAAAATAAATATTACATCATCTTATCTATAGCCTTTAATAGTCCACTGGTGGATATAGGCCTCTCCTAAGAAAGGAGGTTTTGGCCTATTATACCACGCTGGCAAGACGGGTTGGTATAGGGTTTGTGTCAAGTTTTCCTTCTCTATGCAGTGTTGTTGTCCTGCGTAGTTTGCTTCCTTAGTCGGCTATTACGATACCCACGGGATTAATAGGGGTGGTGAGACTGTATTCTTAATCCGTCACCACACGGACGGAAAATAAATATGGCACAATTAAAATCACACCGCATTACATGTTGCCTGTACTATCACAAGACAGCCGGTCTGACCCTCCACATTAAATGTTTCATATCAATTATTTATCTTTTACCGTGGGAAAGCCATTCTTTTCCACATATGGGCTGGCTTCTTGTCTTATGACTTTGATTCTGTCATCATTGATGTCTATCAAGAAGCGAAATAAAAAACTAAGTTTGAAAACCTCACGAAATTCGTATTTAATTAATTTTATAGGTACGAAGTATCATTTTTAAGAAAAAACAACACAAGACGATCTTCTAAATGATTCACGGGTCGTTGACCCACAATATTTGTGGTGTATGTCTGACGCCTCCCCTATATTTAGAAGCGTACAGAATGACGTCGAAAATAGATTAAAATTTGTGAGTGAATCCTACTGAATAAGACATCAGGGCTTGAATATATTTTGCGTAACCGTGGATAGTTTTAGTAGAGGGGTTCTAATTTCTGTATTCTATGTAATATACTCATAAACGGTTCATTATGGGTGTGGTTAAGGCTAGGTAGGTGAACCAGCATAGCTCCTTCTAGAAGCACAAAAATCCTCCAGAAGAAGTTACAAGCTTTTGAGCTGGAAGGATTTTGAGGTGGGAAAACATTATTTGTTTTAGGTTTTATCAATCTGGGAACACAGCAGGCAACAATTTTGTTCCCAAGATTAATTGTGGAAGTCAATAGGTTTTAATAAAGAGCAGTGCTGGAATACCAATTTTCCAAGTAATGCAAATAAAATAAAACACTTGATATGTGTCACTATGAAGGTCAATACGGAACTCGAATCATAACCAAAAAAAGAATTCATAAAAGTATCTGAGAAATCTGCAATCTGCTATAATAAAAGTGTTTTCTTATAAAAATAATTCCAATTTCCTACCACATACCTATTTCGAAATAGTATATTATTCACATAGAATTCTAAATTTAATATTATGGATACATGTATATGTCAAATATTTATTTCTAGTAAATATATTTGTAAGTATGTATACTTCTCCATCTTCTGAAACCCAAAAGCTGTGCTTAGTTAGGCGCAGATAGGGTCCAAGAAATTAATAAATATTACAGGGCTCACCTTACAGAATGTATCCAAAAGTTCATTATTGGCTTCCAAATCACCATTCTTGAATGTATCAATGGACTTGACATAATCCATAAACTTTGCAGCATCAGCTTCACACCAAGGCTTGGGTAAACGACCTTCAGCTGCCTCAAACTTGTAGAGGGCAGAAAAGGCAATGTGTAATTGTTGAGGGTAGTCAAACTTTCCAAAATCGGAAATCACGAATTCAGGTTGTGCAAAGGATTCCTTTAGCGATTTGAACTGCAATTTCTGTGGCATCTTGACCTGTGTGACAATCCCGCCACGAATGTACTTGGCGAAAGTAGTTGTGTCACCAATACTGAAGGTGTATGGACCTAGTACTTTAATTTTACGTGGCTCGCATCCATTTAGTTCTGTCATTCCCTGGACCTGTAAAGAAATATGTGGTCAAGTTTATAGAACAAGACAAAGGGGCCTCAGATGGTTTGTGGGATGATGTTTAGTGTAATAGCTAGCAGCAGTTCGAAAAAGTGATAAAATATGGTAACTTTTTAAAAATGTGTTGGGCAGCTGTAGAGCAGATAGATTTTTAAAGAAACAGGACAGTCATTTAACATTAGTAAATAATGGAAGCTGCAGTCAATTAAACACACAGTTGGTAAAGGGTAATTTACACAGCTTATTTTAGGTTGCTTCTTTTGTGGGGTTGTGTTGGGATAATAATACAGATAGCATGTTCAGACCATATCATTCTGGCGGCGTGGCGACGCCTTAAACCATACAGACCGATAATCTAATTAAATCTTGTGCAATTTTAACAGTGGAATGTAGCAGTTGTCTTATTTAAAATTGTAGTGTTTGAAGACATTCAAGATGATGATGATGATGATATTTAATATGAATGAAAAGTGATTTGTCAGGATGACTTGGGTGACAAAACTAAACTAAAATCTACTCATTTTTATGTTGAAACACTAATTATGTAGGTAAGTAAACTCAATTACTTCACTACACGGATGGCGTGGTAGTTTAAGCGGACGCCACACAGCTTACTACTACGCTGAGTGTTGTGGGTCCTATCCCCACATGGGACGACACTTTGTGTGAGCCACAAATTGTTGTTCCGAGTCTGGGTGTCCTTTGTGTCCGTTTCATGTATGTTTGTAAAGTCCCCCGTGACACAGGATTTATTCCTAGTGCGGGAGTTGTCTTTCAAAAAAACAAAAACTGACTCATAACTGAGTCTCATTTTTCTATATAAATTTTATGACGCCATCAATAAAAATAGGATACTGATGATGGTTGATGATATGTTATTTAATGACTAATGTTGTTTTGAAAGCGCTTATCATTTAAATATAATAAAATTTATGTCAATCAGATTCAGGTTACTTTTACTACTCCTTAATGCCTAGTTTACATGCCTGCCGAGGCTTAGAATCCACAAGCTCCACGCCTTTACAAACGCTTGGATGCAATTTACATGCTTGCGAGTGTATTATTGTGTTCCTGACAGGCAAACAGCAGATGTGGAAATATTTTGATTCGAAATATAAATGGCGGCACCAAACCAAAAAAAAAAAACCCTGCGCAACTGCTCAAATACCAGAACAGTGAGACTTGAGTGATGCCTAACTGCTCAACTAATATCAAATTGAGGAGTGGGGAACAAGCAAGCACTTAAATTTGTCGCAAATGCGTGCTTTATCAAGCTTCCTTTGATCTGTTCAAAAACGGACACTAGTCCAGATTGACGACAAGCTCTCGCAAGCTGAGCCAAACACCCCGTTTACATGCTTTTGTGTGTGTGTGGACACTTGTCGATGTTTGGCTGGTGTAAACGGCTTATAATAAACAGATTACTGTATAATTAGTTGATGTGAGAGCATGATCATTTGTTATGAGTCTAGTTGTAATTTACATAATATATAATATAAATGTGTTTAGAAATATATAAGTATGTTTATTTAGAAACTAGCTGGTACCCGCGACTACGTTGGGTTTGATACCCAGACCAGGCAAAGGTTTTTCTGAGAGGAAAAATAGCCTAAGTTACTCCTTATATAGATTAGCTACCTGGTAGTAAAAAAATATAAAAAGAGGTCCAGCCGTTTAAGATTACCCGGAACAAAGAAACAGACAGAAAGATAGATGGACAAAAAATTAAACTGGTTTTTTAAGCATAGGTACAGTGCAAATAACCATGTAAGCACGAAAAACAAACCAAACCTATTATTTTGACATTACTGACACTATTATTTTATTTATTAGTATAGAATATATACATATACATGTATGTGCCTGTGTGGTGGAAATATTGCCCTTGTTACATGAGATTAAATATAGTCAGCAAAATTTGGGTGTTTAATTCGCCTTGGTCTACCCCTTCAGGGATTAAAACGAGTGTTTATGTATGTGTAAGTTATACACAGTATCACTTTAAAGATTTTTTTTTCAAAAATATGAGATTGTTCATCCATTTTGCACTGAGTTGTGCTGAGTGTTGTGTGTTCAATCCACACATGGTACAACACTTTGTGTTATCCACTAATTGTTGTTTATACAGGATATATTTCTAGTGCAGGAGTTGTCTTTAAAATAAATATTATCCTACCTCCTTTATTTAATTATATGTCAATGTTACACATGGCATCAATCTATTTAATTATACTGATGTGATAAGGTAATGTTGTTACTGGAGCTATACACATGCATTACCACTCTGATAATACTATGTTAAGTTAAGAATTTACTACTTCCACAATCAAGTAGAGTTAAAATGCCTTAAATACCAGTATTTTATCTAATATTAAACTTAATGTCTTTACATTAAAACAGAACAGAATTTACAGAAATGTAATAACCAATAAAATGTATTAATAATGAGATTATTCTGCCAACAAACTACTCTGTAGTTTAGCAGAATTAAAAACTGTTTAAAAAAATGTCAATTTGCTGAAAATAAACACTTTTTTACTGTCAACTTCAACATTTTTTAATTTAAGTTCAATCTCTCAATAAGCTATCCTTAGCTTTAGTATCCTTTTCTTAGTAGTAAGTATCCTGTAAGGTATTATTAGAACTAGTATTTCTTTTTTTTCTCTAAAAAGACAATGCCTGCATTAGGAATATATCCTGTGGTGCGGGGGATTTTACAAACATACATGAAACGGACACAAAGAACACCCAGACTCAGAACAACAATTTGTGGGACACACAAAGTGTCGTCCCATGTTGGGTTTGAACCCACAACACTCGGCGTAGTAGGAAGCGGCGTGGCGACCGCTTAAACCACTACTATGTTTTTAATTCATCCGTTTATTATGACTCGGACTATATTGACCAACCTCTTATTATAAAGTAATTACACAGCAGTTTGATTTAATATAAAATTCTTTATAACTAAGTCAGATATAATGACTTCACTTATAGTGACCCATTTTTAATAAATTGAGTCCGGTCACAGTGACCCACATGATTCCTAACACCTTCAGCAGTGTTCCGGAGTCACGTGATACCCGTCGACGTTCAGAGTGTGCATACATGAATGTATATACGTATTAGGTATAATTTCTATTTTGTTTCTGTCTATTAAAATAAATACGTACTAACAAAAACAGAAAATTGTTTATTTTTTACAAAATGCTTTGTATGAAGTCAGCTTAGTATGACGCGTTTGTTATTTCCCTGCCATGTCATTATAAAAGGATTCCACTATATTTATTATAAAAGCTTTAAACTAGCTATTTTCAAGAACAATTTAGAATTTTAGGGAAAATAAGAGCTCAATTTTCTCTCCTTGAATAAGGGATTCAATTAGTAAGTTACCTGCTGTTTATTATTATTAATAATTCTTATAAGATAACTTTTAACTATTAAAAAAAGAAAAACCCACTATCTGGAGCATCTATAATGTCTATGAGGTGTTCGTCTGAAGTGTATTGTTATGCTTCTATTAAAAGACTTAGCTTGTTTTTTGGTGAAGATCCTTTTAAAGAGCCTAGTAAAATATTCTATGCTAAAGTGTATTACAGCCTCCAGAATGGTAAAAATATTTGTTTTTGTAAATACTTAATGATATTAAGGTGTTTTTTCATTTAGTATGTAGTATTTTATTATATAATCCATGTTTTAGGAGACATTTAAAGTATTTAGTCAATGTCATTCAATGATATTTATACGCAGCTCTTTGTTATTGACCCTAATGATTTAGACTCTTAGATGATTACTTGCCACAACAGTTTGTTGAAAAGGCAAAAATATTTACATTCATAATCTATGTTAATATAAGTGGCTTCTTTGTTTGATTTAGTTTAACAATAGGACTTAATAATTATGGTTCTTTTAAATGGATTTTACACTGTGGAAGGTCGAAAGCTGCATAGCATCATACTGTTACCCTCAGGAGTTAGCCTGCTACACTAATTGTTGGTTAAACTGCAGGCAACGGCTAGTAAATGATATATTTTTAAAAACACAGTAAATAAGTGGGTTAATGTTTTATGTTTTTTTTTGTGGTATAAAAGGGCAAACGAGCAGACGGGTCACCTGATGGTAAGCAACTACCGCGGCCCATGGACACCTGCAACTCAAAAGTCACAAGTGCATTGCTGCCCTTGGAGTCCTTCCCGCTCGAGTCAGCGGGGGTTTGGACTCCAGAAACCTCACTCACTCAGTGAAAGGCAACGAAAGAATTGCTTAACACCGGTTTTCTGTGAGGCCGTGGTATCACTCCGGTCAAGCCAGAAGCATGGCTCTACCACGGTAAGATTCTGGATATATGTTTGTTGAAATATGTTAATAAAATTTTAATACAAACCTCACTGAAAGTTACATAGTCTCCATCTTCTAATCCGTGACGGGTATCATCTAAACAAGTGACAATGGCTTCATACTCATGTGTGATATCAGCAATCATGGCTGACACTGGGTTCTCGCCCGTCACATCAACCACTGTAAACTCAGGTCCAAAATCACAGAACACTCGAGAGAACAATCCCCGAGTGTCCGCAATAATTAGGGCTATGTTATTAGCATGAGTTATAGCAGACACACGCTCCTGCTCGGCCCATGAAGCACCAGTAAGAACGACGACACGGAACTTGCGTAAAAATTCCTCTGTCAGAGGACCTGTATACGCTGTTGTAGGCACATAATGGTTCAACTCGGACAACTGCTCACAGGAAGCGACAGCCCTGTTTTGGCCAATGGAATTTTCGCTGAGGTAAAATTGTGACGACAGATCAGTAATCGAGCAAGTCCGCTCATCGTGAAGAGTCACCGACTTAACTCCGCCAAGGATCACGTTTTTCGCTACCTCAACACCGAGACCCCCAAGTCCCGAAATAAGAACATCGGAACTGGCCATCCTCCGCATAGCATCATGTCCCAGAACGTAGAGCTGTCGCGAGTACAGACTCTCGTCAATCTCATCCTCCACACGCGTCCCATTGTTCGCCATTGCCGAGTTGTTGGAACGTGATTCTCCTGTGTTCAGTTTCCGCTTTTTCGCCGGGGGGTCAACGGAATTATCGGCGACTTCAGCACTAGACATCGGGCACGAACGCGCACAATTTTGGCAAAATTTTGCTTAGCTTTTTTAAATTCAGAAGAAATAATCTTCAATTATTAGAAAGCGACATTCGCGCTTCGTCAAGGCCCGCTTACTCACTGTCTTGAAGTTAGTCGCGACTCGCGATGTACGTGGAAAATGACCTGCGGAAATGATATTTTGTTTGGTTATTTGTCTGAGAGTTCAGTAATAATCTAGAAAGTACTAATCTCCAACAGTCACTGATAATTTCACTTCGAATTGTTAATATTTTAAACTAAACTATCAACGACCGTCGAATAAATTATGCTTTTTCAGTTTTTTTTGTGGTTTGGGATAATGATTTTTTTAAATCTAGCAACATTCACCAACATTAAACAAAGAGAAGAAAGAACTCCAGCAGAAAATTAAAATATAAATTAATTTAGATTTAAGCTCAGACTAATTCGTGTATGATATTGTAAATAACGAATAATTTAGAAATAATTATGGTTTATTTAGGGGTTTTGTATTTGAAATGTAATTTTAATTATATATTTTTAAATGTAAAATCTACTATTTGGTCAAATTTGTATATATTACCAAAAGACTACTAATCTACTCGTACATAATTACTCTTTGATACGTGTTTATCCTTATCGCACTCTAAATCCCGAACTATCACTCCAACAAAGTTCTACTTTCAGAAAAAGTTATTACAAATGTACCTAAACGGCAGTCTGAACTATGCAGACATGTAAAATTATAATTCAGAAACTAAACTTAAATTATATAGTACATATATATATATATTGTACAAGTTACACAGCACCAAGACTGTACTTACTCCTCACACAATTATAGACATCTGTAAGGATTAGATACCTAGACATACTAGTACGTTTAACATTTCACATTATATTTTTGTTTCCGCCCTAACAATTTTTAACTATTAACTGAATTTAAAAATTAAGAGATTTACAATGCTTTTATTATAGATTTTACCCTAGTGCAGAAAATGGTCTTTATCCTGTTGTTCGGTTTTAATTACTGTTTTGTGTAAAAAAAATTTTAAAAATACCGTAATTTTTAAAATAACGATATTTCTAACAGATTTTTTTTTTATGTAGGTAGTTGTTAAAAATTATTTGTATGTTTAGGGCAGTAAACAAAAAATATAATGTGAAATGTTTAACGAGCTTGCAAACAGCAAACGACTAAAATTGTTTTTATTAATCATTACTATTGTTGTCGTTTGCAGTTTCTTTTTTATAATAGCTTTGCTTGCCTTTAATTATAAGTAGCATTTACATCACTACTTCAATTTTTTTTATACAAATATGAATTTTACATAAAATAGGACTGGTTTACAACACGACACGATAGTCGTTTCCGTTTTAAAACTTATTAACTTATTCAAGTAGAATGTATTTAATAACAGATTTTTAGAAACAATTAAGAAACTAAAATTTACCCATATTGAATGGTAAATCTATGTATAAAATAATATCAGGTTATAGAAATATTCCTCGTGGTGCGTTTACACGCTTGGCAAGTCTTGACAAGTGTGAACTCATAAACGTGAAGCGTGTAAACGGGGTGTTTGACTTTTACTTTTCTCCTTTGTACGTGGAAGTCACTACAATTAATTAGAGTATTAAAATCAACAAGTATATTTTACGTTTCAATATTTAGACCATATCTAAAGGATTCTTGCTCTATTCAAAAAGAAGACCCAACATTAAATATCAAACATTAAAGTAATTTAAATAACAAACACATAACATTTTATGGGCGTCAATAGCAATGGTATAAATAATATAATTTAAATCTATCATCATAATCATCATCAACAGTCTATTTGTCCACTGCTGGACATACTCCTCTCCTTAGAAAGGAGTTTTTGTCCTACTATACGTACCACGCTGGCCAGACAGGTTGGTAAAGGGTTTGTTTCAAGTTTTTCTTCTCTGATTATTCGGCCGTTTTACTTGTAAAACAAACAACTTACAACAAAAAATAATAAATATCAAAAAGGCACGTTCTAGCATCAAAAGCGAAAATAAACCTGAATATGAGAAATGAATTCTGCAACTCTAAAATGGCATACTGTTGTTCAAACTGACTAAGATCTGTATGTTGCATCTCCAACTTTGCATATCTCCGTTCGCGGCGGTAGTGACTTTCTAGGACCTGTCTGCTGGTTTGTCCGCTTTTACACAAAAAAAAGCGTGTTAAAAAATTAAAAATCAAATATTAGAATAGCACAGTGAAATTAACCAAGTTGTACAAAACAACTGTATTGTCTGTATTAAATCATTAGGCAAGATTATGTAACTATAAAAATTAAAAATATATTTTGCGATCATAGAGGTTGGATTCCAGCAGTTTTGCCAGAAAGTAGCCAGCCATTATTTTCTCCTGTCAACACAAAAACTGTCAAACGTCAATTTGATCAATTCGGTCCGCACGCAACTTCAGAGCAAACAATCCATTTTGTTTCAATTCGTGGGTTCTATTTTGAGTTCACGACAAGGTGTTGTTAACTGGACGTACGAATATTGTTGTTGTCGTACTGATCGCGAGTGAAAGGATCTCGAGCAGCATGACTATTGTGTGAAACTGTTGATATATTGAAATATTGTAAAGTCTTATATTATTTTATTTTGAATCGTGTAGTGAAAAATGGTGCAGGATTACGTGTCTCCTGTAAGGGTACACAAGTATCCCTTTGAGATGGTGATGGCCGTAAGTATTTTTAATAATATCCTTAAAATATTGCATGTACTTGGACGTATTTACATTTTTACTTTAGACAAGGTCAGCAGTGTAAATTTATGTTCAAACTTTTTAGAATGGGTTACTGTTTTGACCATCACAGTTTCTCAATCGAATGATTACTGTCTTGCAACACTGCCTACCAAAATATTTGCGTAGCGTGACGATATCTTCAGGGTTTAATTCATAAAAAAGTTTATCAATTTTATATCTTTTTCCATTCTAATAGAAAGAAATAAAAAAATCTGATATGAACCTATTTGTTTACAAAGTTCTAAAGAATTAAAATTGTGAATTTAAAGTTTAGGCCACCTTAATACTTTCACAGAGGCTTTTTGGTCATTTAGTTTTTATGTCAAAAACAATAATAAACATAGTGTCAATACCAAAAAAAAAAGTTTATTTTGCTGATCTGTGCCAGACAGTTAAATCAATAAATGTGTTAAATATCTTTGCTTGTTGTAACATTTCTTTTACTGCAATGAATTAACCATAATTAAATTAAACTTAAGCACTTTATCCTGGCTGTAAAAGGAAAACATTGTCCAACAATTATAGCTTTAATTTATTGTAATTTTTCTATATAAACTTTGCAATGCTTTGTAAACACATAGACAATTTTTTTTTATATTAAGACCATTATTCTGCAACTTCCTTTGTTCAGTTCAGAGGCAAATTAGTGATGTATTATAGGTTACTAGCTAACCCTGCAAACATTGTTTTGCCATGTACATTATTTCAAAAAAAATAGTAAAAAAAATAAGGGTAAGAAAAATAGATGTTGGCTGATTCTCAGACCTACCTGATATGCACACAAAATTTCACGAAAATCGGTCTAGCTGTTTTGGAGGAGTTCAACTTCTAACACCGTGACACGAGAATTTTATATATTAGATGGAAAGCTTATCCATTGTATAGTTTTAATATTTAAGATTACATAGACAAAAAAAGAAAAAAAAATCTAATGTGAGTTTAATGCCTCAATTTAAATATGAGAGAATTTAATCAGCCCAGTAGACTATCTAGTAGACAAATTACAATAAAATACCTTTACTTACCTTATACCTGTCTCAGGGAGACTTCTGAATTTCCCACCACTTACAGTCTTTCCATTTACAGGAGTATTTATATAGTGCACTTGTTCTGTGATTGCCATAACTTACACATTATTTTTTTCTTTGGTTGTTTACTATTTTTATCCTTCATTTTGTATATTGTATATATGTATATATATATAACTTGATATTGCCAATAAGAATTTAAATTTATTGAATTTTATGACATGCATTTTTTTAATTTTGTCTTGCTAGAATAAAATCTTGTGTGATCTTGTGTTTTTAAAGATATAAATTATGTTTACATATGCATTTTAACTACTATTGGTGCAGTCAATTGGTGCCTGACAGTGGAGACATCAATAAACTGCCTAACTCCACCGCATGGCCCACATGAAACCCCATAATTTAACTCACAGTCTTGTCTTATATCTCTTTAATTCTGCTTACAAAAAAGAAAAGAACCCTTAACTACCCTGTTGGTGTTTGTGTTATAAATAAAAAAATCATTGTCTTTTTTTGTAATTTACTCTTTATGCTTTAAGGTTTTGTCCATACTTTGCTCAAGTAATGGTAGAAAGATAAAAAACTCTTTATTTGTATACCGTTTTACAAGTAGTATGGTCAGTAAAGGTCAACAAAGGGCAGCCTCATTCTTAAGAGCAATCTCTTCCATTATACTCTTAAACTCTTTCGGTCCCAGCAGATATTTTTTTATCTGGAAGAAACACTATTAAGGTACTTTATCCCTGGTAATGTGGATGCATATGTCATGTCACGAATACCAGTAAACAATCACGTGTGTATATCTTGTGTGATTATTACAGATTATGTATTATAAAACCTTATCAACTTTTATCTTTTATATTTATCAAGTGTTTCCTTTATTTTGTTATTGATTGTTATCTTACAAACAGCCGTTATTTATGACGTTTTGATTGATGTCACATAGAGATTAATAAAGCGAAACTTTGAAGTAAATTTCATGTGGCGAATAATGTATGCGTTTGATAATCGTGATACTTGAATCAATATTTTTAGGTGTTCTCATCGTCACTGTTCTATTTGATTCTCGTATTCGATCGGCGTAATTTTTAAAATGCAATGCCTGCTTGACGTCAACCCTGGCAATGTAATCGTTTTCAGAAGAGAGAAAGGAAGACGATTTATTGTCGCAAGCTTTGGATGTATTCGGGACTGGGCTAGAGTAGAGTGGGTTTTTAACAGGAATTACAGTGTTGTGTATATATACCGTAGGTTATACATTTTTAAAAGGTTTACAAAGCATATAGAATTACAACTGTCAAGTTTTTTGTGCGCGTGGAAACCCACGCGGGCTGTCACCGCACAGCTATATTTCACCGTGAAGTTTTTAAGGTGCAGGTTAAATCCTAATAACTAGCATTTAGCACTCTTTAATTCTGTAGGTTGGACAAAAGTAGTTTTGGTCGTTTACTCTGATTAGAACACGGTATTGATAATTAACATGTTTCATCGAATATAGCAATTGCAGTACCTGAATATAGCAAGTAACATGGGCTACTTTTTACCTCAATAATCTATAGTTATTACAGCTAGTATATCATATACCGGAATTAATTTCCCCGCTTGTCGTGTCCGTTTCAACGTGATAATCTCCACAAGTACGGAACGGATTTTTTTCTTAGAGTTTTCACCAATGGATGCAGTAATTAATAGTTCTAATAATTACTGAAGCTTCATATCATCGTAATCATCATGAAGATGTTGAAAAAACATGAAGATTGAGTAAACCAATAAAGTTTTATTGAAACAATGTAAAATATAACGAAATTCTTCCCATTAAAAATACTTATTGTACCAAAAGAAAAGGCATAATGTATATGGTCTGCTATCCATTAAAGTGGGGGTTACCCGGGGCGGTTTGCTAATAAAAACTAAATATTTTAGCCTTCTTTATACAATGACAACCCAGATTTAGCAAAATATGTAGACCAACAATAAAAAACTCATAAAATGACAATGTCTGAACATTTCATGCATATTTTCACGGCCACATATACATAAAACAAATTACGGGCTTGTTTTGTGTTGCCATACTCACGACAAATGTTTAATACCAACATTTTATGAACCCATTATTGTTGATTGAAGAAATTCAAAGTTCTTGTCTTTTGATTTGCCACAAACATTGTTAATGAGAACAGATATTAAATAATTTTTTTGCCATTAAAACAACAGCTTCACATTGTACAACTAAAAGTTTTAATTATATGAAACTGATATGAAATTCGTTTACAGTTTCGGATAGAGTTTTTATATCGGATATCCTATAGTTTTGATAACGATTATAAACCTACATAACATCACTGGTTTGTATAATTGGTTCTAAAAGACAAATAAATGTGAACACAATGTAAAATAAAAAAATCGCTCATCCACCTAAACACTGTTTAATATGTACGAGAGACCACCGTGCCCTTCTGCAACATCTTAAGCAAATTTAAGTGGGATAGCTCAAATGAAATTGTTCTTAGACTAAAAATAACCGCTGCCTGAAATAGAAACGGAGATGTAGAGAAAACTATGAAAACATTTGAAATGTACTAAAGGCAATTACATCATCATCCTTTAATAGTCCACTGCTAAATGTAGACCATACCACGCTGGCCAGACGGGTTGGTTGTGTCAAGTTTTCCATCTCTTTGCAGTGCTGTCGTCCTACGTAGTTCGCTCCCTTAGTCGGCTCTTACGACACTCATGTATTGAATAGGGGTGGTGACACTTAGTATTTATAATAATCCGTCGCCACACGAATAAGAGAAAATTACGTCTGAGTATAACTTGAAAAGTGTGTAAGTTAGGGATTTCCAATGCTTGATTACAAATCTCTATAAACCTTCCAATAAAAAGTAAAGGAAATCTTCTAAAATGGACCGAATATAAAAATTCTACTCATGTTCATTTCGAAAACTAGCATTAAGTATACAAGTCTTGTACCCAAGATATTATCCTGTCTATATATTTGCAGTGCTACTTTAAGTACTATTGGGTAATGTTGAGCCTTCTTATAACCTATACGCGGTATCGTAACTAAAAATATGTCGAAATCTTTACTAAAGTAAGATTTTACAAAGATTGGTGTATGAAACAGACACAAAGAACACCCAGACTCAGAACAATGATTTGTGGATCACACAAGGTGTTGTCCCATGTGGGGATCGAACCCACCACACTCGATCGTAGTAGGAAGCGGCGTGGCGACGTCTTAAACCACTACATCATCAGTAGGTCAGAGGTTTGTTGTGTTAATCCTACGGACTGGGTCATTAAGAAGTTTTCGTTTTCAAATCACTGACAGATTACCAAAAACAGGAGGAGACTCATTTTCCAATTTGGTTGTTTTTTTTAAATGTTTGTTACCACAGAACTCCGTCATTTTTGACCCAAATAGGTGATTCTTTTTTATTTTACGCCATTAAGATGGATAAAGAAAAAATATCTTCCCTGTAAGTGGAAAGTTAGGAAATGGAGATTGGTTTATTACAGTTCATCATGCTGTAGGAGCAGTCGGTGATAGAAAGGAATTATCCGCCATAACAAGACCAAACGATATTAGCGCCTCTGACAATGGATATTGGAACTATTTTACGATTAATGCTTAATTCAAGATAGCATGAAGTAGTCACGCTTTAGCATGATAATATTATCGTGACAGACTGATTATTTATTAACCTATTCGGATTATATAATGATGTCTTTTACCCATAATTCCATCATCATCATCATCAGTCTTTAATAGTCCCCTGCTGGACATAAGCCTCTCCTTAGAAAGGAGGTTTTGGCCTACTACACCACGCTAGCCAGACGGGTTGGTATAGGGTTTGTGTCAAGTTTTCCTCCTCTCTGCAGTAGTCGGCTCTTACGACACCCGCG